TCACTCAGAGACTGACGCAATCCTATCTGCCGTCAACGTCGCTGTACGTGAACTACAGCAACTTCCACTTTCTACGAACGGACTTCGCTCCCGACTTCACGGAGTTCCATCTCATCCAGAACAGCGCCACTAGCGGTGTACCATTATTGCCCTGGATGTCTGCGAACCATTCATTTGCTCCGATCAAGAATACCGACTCGAACCCCGACCTGATGTACGGGGCGACGACGCTCGGAATAGGTAGCGATCTGGACTGCAAGACGTTGGAGACATCCCAGAACTTGAGAGAAGACGGCCAGGATATCTATTTTGTCTATCGACCGTCCCGTGATGTCAGCCGGCAGTGTAGGGTTAACATGACGTCGCTAGTGCGCCCCAGCGAAGCCATTGCCCTCTCCATCCACTTTCTTTCCCCGGTGGCGGACTCAGACACGGATTTGTGTCAGATGTCGACGGTGCTGGTGGTTGGACGATGGAATTATACTTCGGAGTCACCTTTCACCGATGACAACACCATTGCGCTCCAATGTGAACCACATGTGCAACTTCAAAATTTCTCCGTGACCTTTGACCGACGGGGTCAGATATCCGACATAGATCCGATTCCTGGTACGGAAACCACGTCAGGGACCATGTATGAAAATGCGACGATGGCTCTAGGACAATTCAACAAGGTCTTTGCCGCCATCCCTCAGAGCTTTGTAGGAGAGGAACCAGGGCGGAACCGGTCCTATGTTTCGTCATATGACTGGGCAGGGTTTCTCGTGGCCCGTCTCTACCGGCAACACGAGAAGATTGTTCCACTCAACGCCTTGGAATTGATGACACAGTCGCAGATTGTGTACCAGTGGGTATGGAGCACCTACTTCACAATTTGGCGAAACATGTATCTGGTGCCCCTGGATGAGGTGTTATGCGCCGGTAATGCCACGGAGATCTCCAACACCTGGACCATGGTCCCATCGGTACCGTCGCTGGCCATGGCGTTGGTGATCATTGCGCTAGACACGCTGGTCGTGCTAGTCGTATTCGGCACCCGTCGCGGTCGGTTTCGAGGGCCCCGGATGCCACGATCCATTGGAGCGATCATCCCCTGGGTTGCGCACAGTCGCATGCTGGGTGATTTTCGCAACACCTATTCTTGGACTAATGAGAAACGGAGAGAGCATCTGACTCGGCTGGACAAGCGCTACGGGTTTCGGATGTTCCTGCAGGCGGATGGGCGGTGGCGGTATGCTGTGGATGAGGAGGCGGTTGGGCTGGCAGACAAACCACCGGATGCAGCAGCCGATGCGGCGAAGGGGCCCGAAGTTATCGAGATGCAGCCCATTGGGGAGGCCCGAAGTGATCCTGGGCCTGATCATCATGAGTGATGCGATATGATTACGGATGTACTATTATACCACAAATATTTGGCGAATAACGGGATAGACTTGGGGGTGGTTCGGAGTTTGCATTATGTACATATATCTGAAAAGAAATTTTGACTTTACCTTATCTATACCGCATCTTACTCGGTTTCCTCTCACTTCTCTTGTATATCCTCCGAGTCGTGTTCTACTCTCCCGACGACTTCGGACTTGTTCCGAGCGGGGAAATCCACCCCCGCATTTCGCTATCGACTATTTCTCTTAGTACGATTGGCATTCCTATTGCTACTATTACTCACCTGTCATCCAGTTCAGCCTCCAAGTTTATCTTCGATCATTTCTTCCTCATGGCCAGTCAGGTTGATGTCCTTCTCTATGGGCTGGGAGCGTATGCAAGATCTCCCATTTTCTGCGGAGCGATGAGTCTGACTAAATCGCAGCATCGGTTCCTTCTACGCCTTCATTCTACATCGTAGTAACAAAGTTCGTCTGACCGTTGTCGCCCGGTCCAACTACGCAGCCGTCAAGGAGAATGTGAGTCCTTCCAATAGCTCTCAAACGAATAAAACTCACAGCGAATCAGGGCATCCTTCTGAAAAGCGCAAACCACGGCGAGCATCGATTCTATCCAGACCACGGTAACACCTTCCTCCCACTACTCACAGCCAGGACCACCAACTAACACGATCGCAAAGTGGTCCGCTCGCCCTCAGAACTCACCCATCCAGTCGACTATGTTGTCTGCACCAACAAAGCCATTGACCCAGCCAGTGCCGTCCACTCCCTAGCACCAGCAATTGGCAACGACACCACGATCGTGATCATCCAGAACGGCGTAGGGAATGAAGAGCCCTTCCGCGAGGCATACCCATCCTGCAGCATCATCTCCTGCGTTGTATGTCTATTCCCCAACCTTCAACCTTATTCACAGCTAACCTTCCTGACTTCCCTCAGACATGGGTCGGAGCTTCCCAGCCCACCCCAGGCACCGTTATACACACCACATCCGAAGATACCGAACTCGGTCTTTACCCGAACCCCAAGGTTTCAGATGCCGTGGAGGCTGAACGTCTTAACACGTTCGCGGGCCTCCTTGCCGCAGGTCAAACCCGTCACACCGTGCATGATAATATCCAACCGACCCGCTGGTCCAAAGTTATCTGGAACTGCGCCTGGAACACCCTGACGACCTTGACCGCTCTGGACACGCAGGCATTCTTGCAATCCTCTCCGGATGCCATTCCCTTCACCCGACGGCTTATGAGCGAGGCCGTGGCGGTGGCTCGTGCTGCTGGTGTCCCTCTCCCGGATGATCTGATCGACACCCAGTTGGCACGGATCCAAAGTCTCGGGGCGGTGCGGACGAGTATGCAGATTGACCGGGAGAACAACCGGCCGATGGAGATTGAGGTGATTGTGGGTACGCCAGTGCGTAAAGGGCGGGAGTTGGGCGTTCCTACGCCTGTGTTGGAGACGCTGTATGTACTGTTGCGGGCTGTCGATGGGGAGACGCGTCGGGCGCAGAAGATTTGAGATGTGTATTCTTGTTAGGGAGGTAGTCTATCGATAGAGCTAGACGAGTAGGATATTAGAGAGTGGCAGCGTGTCTCGTGCTTCGAGTAGATGTATACTCCTTCATGTTTGGATGTCCTTCGAAAACGGGAATATTATTATACATTCATACCTTTCTATCACTTCCATATCTAGAATATTTACTCATACTTATTGACAAGTAATCTATCACTTCAATCATTCCATCCCACTCAGCCAGATTTCACTGCTTAGCATCCTACTTTTCACTCCCCAAATCCATCCTATATTCACCTTAGTCCTAGTTATATAAAGCTTCCCTCTCCTCCGTTGACGTCTCTCTTCCCTTTCATCCTAAATGACTACCAGATATCATTCCATCTGGTCGAAGATCCAAGTCTATATGTGCTGTCTCAACTAGCATTAGGTCAATATCATGATATACTAGTACTCCGTATATCTTTTCTTTAACATACTCCACTGTCAGGGCATCACAAATAATAATGTCTATGAACACTACAGCCAGCACACAGTCAACGATAGACCTTTCCTGATCCTGCGTCCGACACCCTCGTCCCAAAGTAGCTGCAGGAAATCGTCTAGCACTTCGCCAAGCAGCCACTGTGCTTCCTTTCCATGTGCCGCTGCGCATATAGCTGAATCGCTACGAAAGAAAATAGCCATCAATCAACTCCCATGCATATTCTACTTCTCATCTGAAGCCAACCATTACTGGCGATGTTTTAAAAGAAGCCTATCACAAATTATTGACGAATTGCAATAACCTGGCTAAGAGTATCCACTGTAACCTAAGTATCAGATCAGATCATATCGGAACTGAAAGGTGGAACCCCGATATTGTGACCCACATATCAACGCGCCATGATCAACCCAATCCTATCTTGATTGGCGATACTGGTTCCTACTCGTCAAGTTTTATTCCAACAGAATCGTTGCCTATAATGCCAATATGCAACCTCTCTGGCATCTAAGGGCGTTCTCGAGAGCAAATGCAAGCGCGCAATTCAGCAGATAACGAGGCCATCAAAGAGACACAAAGAGACATGCTAGGTGTTGGAGGCCCCGGTCTACGAGCACCACCGTAACAGAGGCGCTGCGGACCCAACGCTGGGAAACATGCAGTTTAGACTGTCAACCAAAATGCGGTCGTCTACTGATTTGCCATAGTAGCTGACCACTTTGGATCTAAATGTTTTCGGCAAGAGGGTAGAGGAGCGGTTGTAGGTATATGGTCCTTTTTTTGTCTTATATCGTGAATCTTGCCGATAAATCTGGAGGAATTTTGCCGCTTTGTACATTAATTTAGTGTGGTCATATAGAAAGCCATTAGTGACCGGGCAGGTGTTTCGAATACAGGGTCTCGGGAACAGTGCAAGAGCATAGTTCAGTCCACAAACTGATGTTCCTATAGAAAGATTCTGGAAGGGCTGGGCTAGTACCTTTGAATAGACTATACATATGGCCCACAAGTTGATCTAAGGACAAGATAATATGAAAGGCTTGATTGTCTAGACTGTACATTAGCTTCTCAGCAATGGGGGCTGAGAGGCCCTGCTATACTGGTTTTCTTCTTTTTCCCTCTCGCATGTTGTTGGGCTTATTTCAATCCTTGGAAGTACAATTTGTTATGATATTTGCTATAAGTACAGGAAATAGTATACGAAGAGTTGGGGTTGATGGGTATCATGTGGTATTCCTGGTAGCCAGGCAACTGTTATATTGTCTACTTCTGCTAGTTGGTATAGTTCAAGGTGATATTTACTATATATTTGACCTTCGTAGACTGTTGTGATTTGGCTTAGAATTATAATTGTAGTAGTCTAATCTAATATTCAATGAGTGCCTTCGATACCCTCTCTAATAACGCCGACGTAATTTGGGTGTTAGCCACTTGCATTGGTGGCTCCTGATATGTTTGGAGCAGCTGATTGAGATTCATCTAAACATTAAAGCAATTGTAATAGCTTCGCCCTGTCGGCCATTTGCTGTGCTCGGTTGAGGAATAAAGTTCGCACTCATTTCCGCTCCATTAATTCAGCGCTCAATACCCGGCAGGAAGACACTCTACCAACACAACCATCACAATCTCTCCTTCTTGAACTCGTTCTTGACCATGGACTTAGTCTCTGTCTTAACGAAGACGACATCAGGTTCGGCATCCCGCTTCCCCGTAACCGACAGAGAAGAAGAGATGAAGGCATTCTTATCATCCAACTTGATCTTCTTAGCCGAACCCATCGCAGACATGCATGTGGTATCAGCCTGTCGCTTCTTGGGGGTAGTTGACGGAGTAGTTGAGGTCGACTTGTTACCGGAGCTGCCGGCAGTGCTCTTGGTGGGACTGGAGTTACTCGCCTGGCGCCTGAGCTTTATAATCTGCTGCTCAATCGCGCACGCCGTACAGTCTGTCTGGATTAGTTACATAAAAGATACGGATTGATACTGGGGAATAAGGTACCGGTGCCCATGTGAGTGGCCAGTCGTTCGTAATCAAGCTTCATTCTGCCGCGCATCTGCTCCAATACACCGACCAAGAGCTTCGTTTGTTATTTGTGTCCGTCAAATTTTGTGTATGTGTAGGATCTGATGGCTTACCTTTGCGTTGGCTTCGCTTGTCCAGTACATTGTGTCTGATGACTCTGTGGTCAGAGGTAGAAGGTGTCGATTAGCAGCGAAGATACTATATTGGGGTGGGTGAAATAGGGAAAGGTAGAGGGGGAAGGAGAAGTGAGAAAGATAGAGAGAGTAACGTTCGAAGGTGGAGCAAGTATTGTACATATGACCAGAATGGTGTCATCAGTGAATGGCACAGTGTTGTGAGTGTTAGTATGAGTGGTAGGCAAAAGGCAAGGCTGGTCTCAGTGATACTTTTGATACTTTGACGTCCGTAGTCCGGCATCTCTATATGGTCAGACAGAAGAAAAGTATACGTGCTGAAAATCATCGCCATGATATGTATATGGCTCTTATGTCCGGTGATATTAGCGTGGATGGTGAGATGAGAAGCATTAATCAACAGTGCCTCGCCGCCTGAGTGCCTGGATGCCCCTTGTACTAAGCATGAATCCTGTAACTAACGCGCTGGCCCGATCGGGATAAGCTCCCGCCCTCGCGATCGCTTACCACCGCCTACTGCTTATTTCTCAGCTATTTTGCAGAACACTCACCGCTTCTCAAAGCCGACATGCCTTAGGCAATGAGTTTCGATTAGATACACGGGCACGTCAGGAACCCTGCGTTTCGGTATAAGGCTCTAGTCTACTGTTCCACATTGTTCATTTACTTGACAGAGAGATACCTGGGTTTGATTTAGACACAGCGAAGTGAATACTCTGGCTTGGAATGCACCTCTTCGAGCAATCAAAACCCACTCCTGTTCGCGACCGCGCGACCACAATCATGTGATCAGCTCTCTGATTACGTGAGGCAGGGCAATGGTCTCGAAGCACGTGACAATGTGCAGAGGTCACTTGATCTTTTGCGAGCAGTCAAGTGAACCCCACGTAATTACACGTGACTGTAATCCTTTCCAGAGATATGACATATTCTTGGTATTCCAAAAACTTCATACCAACTGATCTCTAGGTTAGATGGTATATAGTTCATAAAGAGCTAGAGATCCTCGCTGGAAAGGTAAGAGTATATAATGAATGTCTTCTCTACAAATTACTTCCAGTACCTTCTGAATCAAATATGAGGCCAGATGTAGCTTATTTGATCTTAATGAAGAGATGAACTTCACCTGAAAGATGATGTAGTATACTCTGTACACTCTGTATAGATGACCCTGCCCTTTGGCACGTGACTGTCAAGGCCATACGTAAGCTGGTTCAAGCCAACGAACCCCATTCAATGAGCGTTCCATGGGTAAGAACGGTTGTATGTAGTAGTCAATTCAGTAATCAAACTGTAAAAGACAGGTTGGCCTGAAAGCTGATACGTGACTGGCGAAGTTATCAATGAGCGGAATACGGCCAACGGAGCTACATTTACGGTCTAGCCAATCTGCAATCACCACGTGACAATACTATGTACCTGTGCTTATAGTGAGTTACTGACGACTACATTCCCCCATGTTGCCGAACATGGTGTAAACCTGTGCATAGGTATATGGAATACCCTCCAATAAAGACTTCCGGCGTTTGACCTGGCCTTCGTCTCGTTTCAAAAAATCCTACGACACTGCTCAGGTCGTACAAAGTTAGGCGTCTCGCCGTGTCATGTGTGCACCGAAAATGGCTCATCTCCGACGAGGTAGAGTAGCATCATCATCCTTTGCTGCGGATCTTGTTTTCCTCATTCTGATCATTGCTACAGAGCTCATAGAAGAAAGTTTAGACTGTGAAACACGCCAGCAGTGATGACGACACGGTGAAAAGTTTACTATCAATATCCGAACACTAGTTCTCGGGATAGCAGTTTTTCACAACCCAGATTGGAACCCGAGTGTCTTTAGGGAATGAACAACGACACACTATATGCCAACCCGGCCCAAGCGATGTTCTCGTTTGTGATGAAAGTAAGATGTGTGGGTTGATTCTTGATGCCAGAAGCCGAAGACGCAAACGCCGAAGCCGCAAAAAAAGAAAGGGGCCGGATGACCGACCTGTCAACAGCGGGCGTCAGCATGGCGTTATGCGTTGTGGGATAGACCGTGTGCCAACAGCTTTTCGTCAATTTGACTTCTCCACGGAGGTGTGGCTTTCGGTCGCGGGGGTTGTACCCGGTAAGCGACCACCTCCTTTTTGCCTTTCAACCGCAGCACGGAGTTGCTACACGCAAGGTAGCAACATCATCAAGCCAACCATATCGCGCCACGCCAAGCTACAGTGTGAGAAACACGAGCCTCACCAGCTCGGAGATGCTCGGGGAGGGTAGTGAGAGTGTAAGTCAGACCAAAACTGAAGAGTGGTGGCAGTTTCAAGGAGCTCGTATTCAGAGACAAGAGGCAATATAGTGTAAGCCGTCCGGAAAGGCAGGGGAGCCTCTGGCAAAGTGCAGGGATGAAGCAGAGCTTGTTTCAAGGCCAGACATATCTATCCAGAAATCGTCACCAGGGCCAAGATTCCTCTCTCTCATGTGTTGGGCAGCAATCTGCGTACTCCCGACATTTGGATGATCTCAGAGTGGAGCGGATTACAGTCACAGTCACAAATGAATCTGGCAAACGGAGCGGGTTGCACGACATCACGGATGATCTGTTCGATGGATCAGCCAGGGTATGGCTGGGCTTTGCTCCTCCTCGTCTTAGCTTTCACCCTCCGACGTGCCCATGTCATTTGTCACACAAGAACCATTGACTGGCGATGAATTTAGCAGGCTATACGAGGCTGGGAGAATGGTAATGCTGGGCTGTTGCTGCCGCTCAGCCTCCAGATGAGACGTTCGGGCGGGATTGAAATGATCGGTCAACTCATGAGTGCCCCTTTGTTGGAAAGCTACTCTTCGCAAGGGAGTAACTGGGATGAATTGTAAAATTACCCAAAAAAAAAGTTCCATTCTGTTGGTACTAACATTCACACGGAATCAAGCATTAATAGAAAGTGAAAGAGAAAGGGAAAGAAAAAAAAAATGAAAAGAAAACAAAACATGAAAAATGAAAAGATAGTCTCAGAGAATCAGAACATCTCCGACGTGTTCACAAAGACGTCCCCCTCTTCAAAACATGTATCTCGCCTGATAAGTCTTCTTTCAACTCTGGTACTCTTTGTGGCCTCGTCCCCTTTGTCCAGCACAACGATAGCCTTGGAAATGATGGTGGTCATGGACTTGTAGTCCGAATCTGCTTCGCTAGGCGCACTATCAGTATACATGATAGCCGGCTGTGCGACAAGTAATATTTTACGTCCCTTGAAATCCCTCTCATCTACTTCGTTGCCGTTGGAGGTGTGAAAAATCATGTAGGAGCTACCGCACTGGTACGAAGGTCCCAGTTCTGGCAATCGCTTGATCCTGAAGTGACCCCCAACCCTTGTTTCACAATCCTTCATGAGATCTAGGGAGGCTTCAAAGATTTTGGTAAGCTGTTCTTTCCGCTTCATCACCTGATTCCGGCCCAGGCGCTTCTTGAGGAGCAGGCTGACTGGCTTACTGGCCAGCACCTCATCAGACAGGGATGGCGCGCAAGCTAGAAGACGCTTGGCATTGTCCTTCCCAAAGCTCAGGTCGCCTGGTGCGTTGCCAGGCAATGTCGAGTTGGCCAGTCGATGGGTTTGCTCTTTCCATAGCGTTGCAAGGTTTGGGTTGGCTAAACGCATGTCGGTCAGTCCATTTACCAAGTTCTGTGCCAAAGATCAACTCACTATTGAAGAACCGTTCGTAGAGGCATTGAAGCTTCGAGGCAAAGCTTTTGTCTTCGGCTTGGTCCGTAGGACTTGATTTCCCATCAAGGTACTGAAATGAGTTCGAGAAAACTTTCTCCATGATCGCCTTATGGATCAGGGCCTCAGCAAAGTGGTCTGCAAGGCTCCGACGAGGTGGTAGCAACCCTTGGAGGACTGTCCAGTCGTCCTGGACACAATACCCCTCTAGGGCAGCAATGATGATGTTCATGTCTTTTCTTGGTATCATCCCAACATCTTCCTTCACCCATAATCCCATCCATGCAACAATACGCATAACTACTTTTCTGAAACGTTCCCCAATATCTTGGAAGTCAACCGTCCAACTGTGCCTACTCGCGTGGACGAGACGATCCACGTCTTGCACCTCATGGGCCCATTTTTCCTTTGTTGGGAGGGTTGCTGAGTGCTCGATTTTCGAAACATTGTCCTCTTTCTGCGATATAGGGGCGGAATTTGGGGCGTCGTCTGCGCGCGTGAGACATTCGGTAGGACCAGGTGGAGAGCTCTGCTTAGGGGAGCCTTTCAGGCTGGAGGATGAAGGCTGCGCTTGCACTTGTTCCATGGCTCTTGCGTAAGATTAAGTACACACAAAACTATGCTTGTTAACGATAGATGAATTGCGGATATACTAATATAAATCGAGAAGGAAAAAATTTGAGGTCAAGAGAGGAAGAATCGTGGGGAGATGCACTGAAGGGATAGGCTCTGGTGGATAGCAGGAGGACAGGCCGCTTTGTTCTGGAGGGCTGAAAGGTGGCCCTACAGTCATCCGTTCTTGGTTCCCCCCTCGTATCCTGTCCGATTTAGGGTTCAATGGCTGATTAGGATTCATGAACCAGTGCAGCTGCCCGGTCCGGATCCCGTCTCTCTTTATTCCTCCTCCCCTTACTATCCTTTCTCCTTTCACATCCCAACACTCTATCATAGTCTCGATTGATCCTATAGAAGTCCCATCCATCATTTATCTCTAGTTACTATTCATACCACGGAAGCCCCTTCCTTTGTCTTGCCTGCATCCCACCACAGTTGACTGGACTTGCAACCTCAACCACCTCCTTTGCCATGTCATCACTTTCAGCTGAACGCAAAATGATTGTTGGGGTAGATTTCGGAACGGAGAAGACCTGTAAGACTCTTTCTTCTCGATCAGACATGACGAATGTTCCTAGTTAACGGATCACGCATCGAATATAGGTGTGTCGTATGCTCTCTGGAACAAAAGACGACCGAGGGTGCCCGACATTATCAAGTCCTTTGCCATCAGCCGTAATCATGTTTTCCCAACCATGCTGGCGTACCTCCAAGATAAGAGTGTAGCATGGGCCCACGATGCGCGAAACGGAAAGGATCCGGTCTTCAAGTGGCTCAAGTTATTCCTCTACGACCAGGAGCACCCCATTCTGCGCGAGACCCCGAACCCAGCATTGCCAGACGGTGTTTCATCCGAGCGGCTTGTCTCCGACTATCTTCGCCAGCTTTATGCAAGAATACAGAAGTTGATTGTCTCTTTGCGCCTTTCGGCCGAAATCGGGACCGATTTTTGGTTTAGCCGGCCAGCTGGCTGGTCTGCCGACAACCAGGAGATTTTCGCTAAAGCAGTGCGAGACGCAGGGTTCACATCCAAAGAAAACGACAATCTTTTTTTCCTTACGGAAGCAGAAGCCGCTGCATTGTATCTTATGCATCACGAGGACTTTGAAGCGGTCAGTGCAAAGCCTCCCAAACCCCAACCGCCTTCGTCTTCTCTCCCCCACAGGATTGATCAGCTAACTGAATGTCCATTTGTGAACCCGGAAGATGGCCGTATTCTAGTATGCGACATTGGTGGAGGAACGACCGTAAGTGCTCAAGCTTCTGTGGGGGTTCCATGGGCAGCTTTCGTCGGCTACAAACTAATTCGACTTCTGGAAGGATGTCGGTGCCTTCCATATTCAAGGCACCGGGCCAGATGCCGTGTACGAACCATTGGGAAAGTCCTCGGGTATGTATCATCTTTGAGGCCAGTTGGGCACTTCAAGACAGTAGCTAACACTTTTCAGGGGTTAATTGCGGTGTCGCAGCAATGGATGCTGCGGTCCGTCAGCACGTGAAGAAGCAGCCTCCGCACACCTTCGGGCTCGTTAGGCCGCTAAACGAGGCTCTCCTGGACATGATATGTGACCTCAAGTGCCAATTTGATGGCACTGAGGAGGATCCTATCCCGGTTGATGTGACTGGCTTAATCACGGTTCCCCCGGGTGTGCTGAGAAAATCCCTGAACTCAACGGTGGTCGCTATTATCGAGCTGATAATGGCTAACATCGTTCCACCGCGGCCACTGGAACCACCGGTCTCGGTATGCTTTTCTGTACCTACCAACTAGCAATCAGTGCAAGCTGACAGTTCTCCCACCAGGTTGTCTTCATCACGGGCGGGGGGAGTAGAGTACCGTACTTGATCAAGCAGATACGACAGAGATTGGAGCATATGGTTACCCTACATCACCTGGACCAATACGAGTAAGTTTGAATGCACCCCTCCATGCCAGGCTCTGGGCTGACTGTTATATAGGGCAATGTCGGTGTCCTGGGGAGCGACTTTTCGAGGGATCCTCGGCAGGGCCATCCCCCGCCTGAAGTTTGACGCAAGCTACGGTCTGCAAGCTGCGGAGGAGGCTATCGTCCGCAAGGGAAGCATCAGCCGGGAGCAATCCTCCCCGCACTGGTTTATACGCAAGGTCTGTATTGACATTCCTTCATCTCGTCCGAGCAAGGTGATCTCAACTCAGACTGACACCTCCGTGAATCGGTCTCTAGGACCAAGCAGTCGAAATTGAGCACCAGAATGAGCTTTTTCTCGACATTCACTATCGTGCTGGAGATGCGCCCATAACTATCATAAATCTCCTTCAACATGCCGCCGAATTTCCCGATGCGAACGATGGTGGTGAGTATTCTGAGCTTTCCCTTTGCCCATCTCTGAACATCGTATCTGGTCTGCGTGCGTTTCGCTGAAATCGTAAATGAAACAATAGATTCCAAACGGATGCCACCACTCGGTTTCCACCTACAGGGGTTGAATTTCTCCCGTCTAATGCGCGTAGGTGATGAGTACTGCGTTCAGGTGCGAATCGTGTGGAAGGTCACATACTCGGAGAGGCACGCGATCGTTAAATTTACTGCCCAGTCGGAGAACGCACTACTTGGCGAGCAGGAAGTACCTCTGGTTGGATATCGTCTGGTAGCATGATATTGCCTTTCTCTTCTCTTCTCTCCTCTCTTCTCTTCTGCTTCTTTAATGGCCGTTCTTTAATTCTCCTTATCCCCCTAATATCCATCACCCCATCGTCTATATTTCGGGTTATTTCATTATTCAAGACTATTAGCATACCCATAGACTGCCTGTGAACCTCATACATCTGTCCCGCTCAGTCACACTGTACTTGGAGTTTTGGCATACAAAAGTTCTTCTCGGTTCATAAGAAATAAGAATGTTCTAGCCTCATTATCGTAACAACATGCACTAAATCTGACCGTGGATAGCAGTCCTTCAATAACACGTCAAGACCAACGACCATCGTCTCGGATTCAAGTATCTATCCGGTCAATGATCCGTTTCAAGGTATACCTCCAGCCCCGATCTATTGTACACGGCAACCAAGCTCTCCTCCCAACCAGGCACGGCCCCGATCATCCAGAGCCTACCTAGAAGCAACCCACCGAAGCAATTCCTTTCATCTCTCAGATTCTAGACTGTAAGTACCTTTGGGACTAGTATATGTGATGGATCGCCTGGCCCCGCTGCACTCTAACCCTGACAGTATTTTGCGCCAGACACTGACGGGTAAACATTCCACGGCTGGACTTCAGCCAGCACACCCGCCAATGATCATCCGTGAGCATTCATCCGACTCAGCCGGCTTGCCTTGTGAACCGAGGCAATGCAGGAAGTTAGTGTGCATTGGTCTGATGATCGGGTTCGTTTTGTTTCAGAAGAGAAGGGTTCAGTTGGCCGAGGCCGAAGTTTATCCACTACCGTACTTCCAAACAGCCCTCACGCTGAATCGCATAGCAGCAGCAGCAGCAGCAGCAGTAGCAGCAGCAGCAGCATTATAAGTGCCACTAGCACAAATCGCATCCTCTTATCATCATCACCTCTACCTTCTCGATTCTATCACTAAACAGAGAATACTACTCAATTGAAAAGAGAGACCACCCGACAACCACACTAACCCCGTAGTCTCGGAGCCAAGAAAGACTCAAAAATGGGCAGCCCTAAAAGCAGCCCGCGAACCGCACTAGACTAAAACCCGCGCGCGCCCGCCCGGACGCAGATTGATTAACACCCCAGCAAATCAATCTATCGGCGACAGACCCTGGCTTGCTCTGTGCATGACTGATGCCTAGACTAACTTCCACCATGGATGGTCGACACATAACGGTTCCTGCATATGATACCGCAGGATTTGTCGCAGGCTGAGACTTGACTGCAGGCTGAACCAACCATGGGATGCAATTCGGGGTTTTCTGGGAGAAATTCTGGAAGACTAGATTAGTGGGGTTTCAGATGTGGCTCCTGATTCCTGTTCCTGTTCCTGGTCCTTGTCCCTAGTTTAACCTTAATAGACTTTTTGTTATACTCCATGCCGAAGTATAGACTAGACTACGGAGTAGATACCCTTTCCTCGGAACAAACAGCCTGGCATGGTGAAACGGAGGGGACTCCACACCGGGTGATCAGTCGATCCCGTTCAATTCAGATTCCCTAACGGACCCAAAAAAAGATCAGTCTTTAGTAAAATAACCCACGTCGCAGATGGATGCCGACGTAGTGTATATAAACCCTGCTTCAACTCCAGAGATTTTCCCATCCAGCAAGTGCAGTGCACCGCCAATATCCTTACCTACCCTACCCTTCCCTCACTTGTCCATTCTCAGTCACTCGTTGAGCAGCGCTCCATACACTCGTTACACCCACACCCACACCCACATCAGTATCATTCGTACTCAAAACCAAAATGAAGTCTTTCATCACTCTATCCCTCCTAGCCACCGCCCTGGGTGCCCCCACCGCCACCCACCAGGCCCGTCAATTCGACCTGTCCTCCTTGACCTCCGGCCTCTCAGCCCTGACCTCCGGCTCCGCAGCTAGCTCTGGCTCGACTGGTAGCACCGGATCGGAAACGACCACCGGATCCAGTGGCCTCAGCGCTCTGGCTTCGCTGTTCCCGTCGTCATCTACTTCTAGCACTACGGGCAGTACTAGCGGAAGCGGCAGCAGCAGCAGCAGTGATGGCCTGAGCAGCTTGATGAGCATGTTCTCCAGCAGTGGTAGCGGTATGCCTCCCATCACGCCCCTTCTCCTTCGTTCCTACACCATTAAGTCATATACATAACGACCCAAGTAAGGGACAAAGCATACTAACAATTGACGACAGGCTCATCCACCGAAAACGGCGTGACCCAACACAGCGGCAGCTGCAAGAAAGTGACCTTCATTTTCGCCCGCGGCACGACCGAGATCGGCAACATGGGAACCGTCGTCGGACCCGAGGTGGCTAGCGAGCTGGCTACATTGACGGGCAACCAGGTGACCGTGCAGGGAGTGAACTATCCTGCTGATTGGGAGGTGAGATCCCTTTTCCCCCCTCCTCTTCCCACCCGATTATTACCACCGTCAAGGACTAATAATGATGGTATAGGGCAACGTATCCCTCGGCTCCTCCGGCGGCCCGACCATGGCCTCGTACGTGAAGGAAGCGCTCCAGCAATGCCCTAACACCAAGGTCGTGCTGGGCGGATACTCGCAGGGTTCGATGGTGGTGCACTACGCCGCGAACCAGCTGAGCGCGGACCAGTTGTCGGGTGCTGTGTTGTTCGGTGACCCGTTGAAGATGGAGGGCGTGGGTAAGTTGTCTAGCAGCAAGGTGAAGGAGTTCTGTGCTAGTGGGGATCCCGTCTGTGAGAATGGTATGAATGTTATGGCGCATTTGACTTATGGCAGTGATGCCAAGGAGGCGGCGCAGTTTTTGGTCCAGGCTGCGGGGGTTTCTTCTTCTTAGGGTTCTTTCGTCATTTAACTCTGGGGTTGGTGGGTTATATACTATCATTACTTATGTGGGATGATATAGGGGTGTTTGTTTATGTTAGGGAAGGGTATGGATATGTTTATGAAAGATGGATTTATTATAGTATCTAGAAATAGTGCTATAAACAGACAATACTGACTCTATCTATCCGTCTATCGACTCATTTAAAAAATCTTGTACCCTCCCGGCATCAACCCCTGCCACACACCATTAGGATCATACTTCTTGGCAATTGTCTGCAACTTGGCCAGGTTCTCCTCTCCATATCCATCGAAGATATCCTGGAACCACGCAGCATCACCCATGTAGTTGAAGCTGTCATACAGGCCAGCCTCCAGGGTAGCATTGTTAATTTTGTAGGTAGTCTCAACCACCCACTCGCCCACAATCTCATCATACTCGGAGCCAATCCACTCAACAACCTCGGCGTAGCAGAGATACACCTGGTCCTTGTCGAGACCGAGAGCGTTTCCACCCCGGGACTCGGAGGCCTCGAGCCACGAGGCACCAATGGGCTGCCAATCCAGCTCGATGATGGAGATGTTGGCGGTGGGGATCTGAGCATACAGGGAGGGGAGCTGCGCAGCGAAGGTGCTGTTGATGATGCTGATACCGCGGTAGAGGTCGGCATAGGTAGTTGCCTTGATGGTGCCGGCGACGAAGATGTCACTGCCATGATCATTAGTATACATGTAGCTAAATAATGTAGTGGGGATAAAGTGTGGAGGCGGGAGTGGCGCGTACTTGATATGCGGTGTAACCATCGCTCCCGTCTCAGCCGCAAACTCCGCCAAGGTCTTGAATCCCAGCGTGCTGCTCTCGGCCGGAATGTCGGTGAACGGCTTGAAGATCTCCGGGTAGCTCTCCGTGGCGCTGTCATAGAAGAGGATCACTGAGCCGACGCTCGTGTTGCCCTCAGGCACAACGGCAGGGACGATGTGAGTCTTGGGGTCGGAGATGTTGGCCGCGTAGGTGGCGGATGCCTGTATATCCATATCATTAGCATATACCTTCTTTCATATATAGCAATGGTGTCCAAAAGAAAAGGGAAGGCATACCTCCAAAAACTGATCAATATACTCCGCCGCAACAGTGTACGTTCCAGCCCAGACCTGAGTCGACTCAATAGTCTCCATATCGAAGCGAGTCACCAGACCAAAGTTGCTGCTTCCACCCTTCAGCGCCCAGAAGAGGTCGCTGTGGCTGGTGGCGTTGGCCTCGATGATGGTGCCGTTCGCAAGCACAACCTCGTAGTTGATGACAGTGTCGCAGCCGAATCCGACCTGGTTACCGTAGAAGTTGATGCCGCCGGCGAGCAGCAGACCGGGGACACCGACGGGACCGAGACGGCCTCCAGCTACGGCGAGGTCGTAGGTTTCGAGGTAGTCGTAGACGGCGGCCCATCTTTTGACATTAGATTATGTTTTTCAATTGGTGGCATGGATAGGGTATGGGGGGTACCTGTATGCCGGGCCAACCGAGACAACGGAATGATCATCGGACAGTTCGAGGGTCGTCAGGTTCGACATGACGATGAGGACACCGTTGTCGATGTTGTTCGATCCCTATTGATTCCATTAGTTACTTCGCTTCTCATACAATGCAATTGATAGATGTGCTGGTATATGCATACCCTGATTCCCATGTGTCCTCCACCGCGCACGGCAAACTGCGCCTCGGCGTCCACCAGCGCCTTGACACCCTGGCTCAATTCCTCAGCCGACTGGGGCCGGAACACACAGCCAGGAGACATGATTTCCGTGTTGGACCAGAAGTTCTGCGCCTCATACTGGTAGACAGTGGAGCTGGGCGCAAACACCGCGCTGGACAGGGACTTGTTGAGGGCCTTGCAGCCGGCCGAGGTGGCCTTGGCGGCAACCGTAGTGGCCGCCGCCGTCAAAGGGAGGAGGGAGGCGATGCGCATGGTGTATGCTTCTTGACAATGGCACTGTGGAGAGAAGGAAAGCAAGATGGAGGGGAAGAGGGAGCTTTAACTGCGGCCCAGCCGGAGTGGAGAGCTAGCTAGCCTGTGAGCTGACGTGCCTGGCGGTGGTGGTGGTGGTGGTGGTGGAGATACACCGGGCAGCAGACTAGAAGCCCTTGGCAACGGGAGCCGGATAGCCGAGGAGGAAGGATTCGAAGAAGAACATGCCGTGCAGAATGGGGGGAGAGTGGCTGGCACCGGGGGGGAGACTGGGCGGCGGTTCCTGGCTGGAATCTGAGAAATTCGTCTCGGGCAAACTCCCGAGAGCAGACTAGTTGAAGAGGAGTGGAGACATTAGTGGTGGTTTAGTGAGGGTTAGTGAGGCTTTAGTGGGCAACACTAGGAGAACTTTTCCACCGATTCTCCGGACAATCAGTCCAGACCAGATGATACGGTCGCCTGTACATATTATGGCTGTCCAACGGTCGCATTATGTCTATAACTCGTGTATACAAAGGAAATTAGAAAGAAATTATGCCCCAGCATGTCTGGTGTCGACCACGTTGAACTCCACTGTTCGGAGGATCCCATCTTCCCCTTTACATGTTTCGGCCGGCAGAATGTTCTCCTCGCTTTCATTGTCGGCGCCACCCTGCAATCGCGTCGAATATTGCCGACTCCCATTATTGAAGTCAGGCTGATCGCGAGGAATGGAATTCAGTGGGTGGCCATACTTCCGTGATCCTGATTGGCCGTATGCGTAGGACGACAGGCCCAGCAGTCTGGGGAAGTATCGTCGCACAAACGGACGCATGGCCGTCATGCAGCCACCTGTGATACCCAAGTTTAATTCAACGGTGCACCACAAAAGAGCGTTGGTCGTGGCCCCTGATCTGTTAGCTGCATCGAGGGAGGGAATGGGTGGGCAACGTACAGGTTAGATCGGTGCTCTTCAGTAGAACATATAGACTTGCCAGTCGGATGCAACTCACGATGCCGACCCTGTCATTGTCAGACCCCAGCTCCAATTGTAATGAATGCCCAGTTGAGACTTACGAACAGCCCATCGCCAGCATAGACCCGACGGCGACCTTTTGTCGCGCCGGCATCTGCAATCGCCGCAACCATGGACTATACACTCGTCAGCATCTATATCAGCAGCTTCTTGGAGGGAAGGCATACATCGGCACCAACACCGTCGCGAAATCAGTAAAGATGCCCAATCCCGCATTGGCAAAATAAAACACCGGCCTGTTCATGCAGTGTGCCGTCAAGCTCAAGTCCCACGCTGCCGCGATCGGCGTACAGCTGAACACATTGGCCAGCACACTGGCCACATTGTAGCCCACGGCGACGGAAACGATCGACCACACGGCCAATCGGAAGCCGTGACTGGGAAAGATGCGCAGGTAGAAAACGCAGACGGAGACTTTGGTGAACCCTGTCCCGGCGCAGTAGATGATGGCCGCGACGACGTTGAACTATAGGGTGAGCTTCATCGAAGTCAACCAACAAACAAGGCAAGAAGTATATACCTTAAGAAACCAAGGGGTAAACAGTTCCAAGGGCACGTCCCACATATGCTTGCCCAAGCCAAAATCGAGCACTGCTGGTCAGCGGGGCCCGAAGCCGTTCATGGCTATCTATGGGTCACTTACTCTTCAGAGTGACTCCGGTCATAACCGTCGACAAGATCTGCTATGGGGTCAGCTACGTGTATTCAGTACACTGGGCCCAAAATCAGATCATCCATACCGCTGCGAAGATCATCAAGTCTAGTGTTTTGTTAGTTTTGTCTGTTTGCCCAACTTCGCCCTGTGCACCGCTCTGTAGCACTTACAGTCATCCCACGCTACGCTGCGCACGACAACCACACGCGTCCATGTTCGCACCGCCAGCGCTATCAGCGCAATCGGTAGAAACACACAATTCACCACGACGAATTTGGCGCCAGAGTAGGGCGGATCCACAAAGTTGGAGACCTGGCCAGGAGGCGGCTCCATGGCCGGGATAATGGTGCTATTCGCCATATCGCAAAGCAGGGCTACTCATGGTAGCGTAACAACAGCAGTAGTAGCAGAAGCAACAGCCCTCAGATCACTCCGGGGCCAGGACGGCGAGGAGAGCGGCTCAAATAACCCCAACAGGGAGACTCAAAATAGCACGGGCGTGATCCTGGTGGAGAGACTAATTACTATATGTAGGGTGGCATTGCATTAGGGAGCTGAGCTGAACTGACCTCAAATCTGGGACGCGGTTAGAAGGCGCATTATCCCCGAACGACGGACGCAAAGCTTAAAGTTTTGGGCAGGGCGATTGGCGTGTGTCTGGATTTGGTTTGACTTTGGGGTTTGGCAGTCGCGCAATCCAAACGGAGAGGGCCGGAGGAGAGGGTGGAGGAGAGGGGGAGAAGTGTCTAGAGCAGGAAACAAGATTTGATCATCATTGAAGGAAGGGCTTCTATGCAGGAAAAGATGATTCCAGTCCAGTTTGGATTCCACATCCACCACTGAGAAGAAGCAATCATGATGCCTGTCTGGGTATGGTGGATGATCAGTATGGCGCGGAGCAACCACTTAAACCAGTATAGTTAGTCTAGCTGATCGGACTTCTATTTGGAGTGAAAAACGTGAAGACGTGATTGTGTGCGATCGGGATTTCATGACGCTCAGGCCCTCCAGGTACGCGCTGGTATCGTGCTTCGTTCTATCCACTTCCTCGTGGATACTCCATACACCCAGGTTAACACTTGCAGGGCCAGGTTCACCCTGGCACTACTGCTAGACTCGCAGTAGCATGTTCCCTCGGGGTGGAGCCAACCAGATAACCGAGGCAAGTAGCCAGAGTATCTCCTCCCGCGAAGGAAAGAGTGATCGTCCATGATAGGGGTTGGTTGCCCCCAAGCTGTGCTACGCTCAGTGTACACCCTCGCCACCACTCCAACAAAGACATATCTAGAAGACGAAAGAATCCATTGTTTGACACCAGTCATAAAGACGTGGAAGCAACTAAACAGAGCCAGACCCATGGACCTGGCACCCATTCATCTCGGCAACCGAGCCAATGCCGGGAATGATTTATTGCCATCGCCCCGTCGAATACGAGACAGTTGCCCCAAACCAACCATCGAAGTCAGCAAGCCCACGATTTATTTTAACTAGAGGATTAGATAATATATTAATTGAAATTACACAGTTGTTTCCTCGAATCATCATGGTCATTATCTACTCCATAGCTTTTGCGAGCCAGGTGCCAACACGCACTAAACGCTAGTTCCGAACCAACTAAGCAGTGGAGTGGAGCATTTTCGGTTCCTCGGTTGTGCAAAAACTTTAACACTTGTTTATCCCTGAATCCCTCAGGGCGCACATGGATTGATTGTCACTCCCTGCTGTTCCTGAAGAATTGATTTCAATAGTGCGGGGTGGATATATAGGGTCAAAGAGGGAGATATTGAACTTACAATGGTGATAGCTTCATCTTCTTCCAAAAGGACAAATGGTTGGCTGTGGGGTCCGTCTCATCCAATATAATAGACTTTGAAGGCACGGAAAGGAAATCTGGTCCGGAACAGATAGTCCAGTTCCTAACTATCTAACCCAACTAGATAACCTCCACTGAACCGAACCCTCCAAGAGACTTCTTCTGGATGACATTTCCGCGGCGTTATCCGGCCGTACCCTATCTATCCAGCCCCGAGATACAGAGTGGACACTCGGCGGAGTGACTCTGCGTCATCATCTTATTTCAAATGCCGAGTAGTCTTAACTAGTACATGATGGCGAATAAGACACAGACACCAAGCTAAAACAGCACTACTAATTAAGCGAAGGACAAGATCATAAGTCATAGCATCATATTCACAACTAACTAACTACCAAATAAAATGAATCTAAGACACTCCCACAAATCGTTTCATGGGCCCATACCGCCCCGTCAACTCGCGTAGACCAGCGCCCCAAAGAAACAATGGCACCGCCAGCAATACACTTGCCCCCTGAATCGCCGTCATCTCTCCAAACACCTTCGCGGCGCCCTGTTTCGCGATCCAATCCGCCGCATATAGCGACAACAACATACCGATCGTATTCCGGATCACGAAAATAATGACCAGTGCTTCGCCCGTGATCTAAAGGCAACGCCAACATTAGCATGTTCATGTTCATGTGCTCCCGCCAACCACGCTATACAACGCCACCATGCAAGGGGTAAAACTCACCGGCTTATAACAATCCAACGAATACGTGACCGCCACATTAGAAATAGCCGCGACCCCAAAAGCCTGCATGGCATATCCCACTGCCGCACCAGCCCAGTGCGTTTGATTCGCCACGCACAGTCCGAAGATGAGTATCCCCGCGGGTCCGATCGTGCCGGGGATGATCATGGCGGGGAGTCGGTACTCGGGCAGTCGTTGGCCCCCGCGCCGCCGGGTATAATATGTGGAGAGGATGTCGATGAGACGTCCACCCAGGTAGAAGGCTAGCAGGGCGCCGATGAAGCCGGAGAGGGAGAGGAGGCCGATACTGCCAGCGGGCCAGTTGTAGGGCGGGGCTGTGAAGGTGCGGGACGCAGTGAGTTGGACGACGATGTTCCTGTTTCTTCTATTAGCTTGGGGCTTTGCAAAGAAAGAAAGGGGAAGAATAAGAATATGGCTTACCATCCTACGGAGATTCCGATGGTAAAGGCTGACCATAGGAGTTGAGGGTACATCGCGTTACGGAGGATATCCCATACCGTCTGGAGGAACGAGGCGTCCGGGTTGTATCCTCGTGTGATGGAAAGCCAACCCCAATACCTCGTCTTCTGGGAAGAGGCATGTCGCGCGAGGTATGTGGTTTCGCGAACGGTGAAGATGGCGACCACAAAGACCGCTCCGACTGCTATAGCAAGGAAGTAGCACATCCAACGCCAGTTCTCGTCTTGTACCAGGTATGCGTTGATGAGAGGGCCGAGGAAAAGCCCACCGGTCAGGGCAAGATGGAAGATCATGAGGTAGTGGCCGCGTTCGTGGGGAGCCACCATGTCGCTGACCACGGCAGGGACAGTGGCATCGGCTGCGGCTGCGGCGAACCCGGAGAGGATGCGTGAAGCGAGCAGCTCGCCGTAGCTGGTGGCGCGGGACGACCAGACATTCATCATGGAGAGGAAGAGCATGGAGATGAGATAGACGGGGCGTTTGCCGACGACGCGCATCAGTGGAACCCAGAAGATGTTGCCGACGCCGAAGAGGAAGACATTGAAGCAGACGAGTTCGCCGGCCTGGGTTTGGGAGACGTGGAATTCGGCGATGATAGCCTTGGTGGCGACGGTGAAGTTGCTGCTGTTGACATTGGCGAGGAAGGTATAGAAACAGATGGTCAGGTAGGTGGTGAGTTTGGCAGCAGTGGACCAGTTCTGAGAGGTTAGCAAGCATACCGAGTGGGTTCAGGATGGCGGAGAAGGAGATCATGGATATACCTGGGGATCATTAGGGGCAGGAGTGATAGATTCCTTGTCATTGGAGAGATCGGGAAGGCCATGTTCCTCTGCAGCGTGGTCGATATGGCCGAAGCTGGCTTTGTCGTCTTCCATGGTGACGATGGTGGAAGGGGGTTAGGAAATAGGGGGAGGGAATACTTCACTGTAGCCCAGTAGTTGGCATTGGTCCGGCAATTATGTAGGTTATCGTCACAGGGTAGATCCTGCGGAGTTCTTGGATCCCTTGGAAGACCCGGTGTCGGGATATCCGAGATGCCCTCGAACCTGCAGCAGCCCAAAGACCAACGAAACACCAACTAAACACCCCGGACTTCGCTTGGGTCCCAGTTACCCCGCCTTTTGCTACCCCGGAATGAGCGAGCTTGGCCTCTTGGCTCGTCTCTGTAGTTCTCTCTCGGATGACCCGAGAGGATGAGAACGAAGCTAGGGCTTACACAGTCACCGGGCAACTCGTTTAAGACTTGGACTGGCCACGACAATCTCGGGATTTGCGTGACACGAGCTGGGATTGTTGCAGGTGGCTTGAAAAGGTTGATGGGACATCACTGATCTGGGAAACTTTAGACAGACATCCTGTCACTCCAATCTATTGTTGAGTCAGTGGTGTTTCTCATGGCAGAATAAATTCCCAATGACACAAAGTGCATTTCCAATTACCGATCGGGGGTAAATCTCTCTCATTCTCTATAGCACAGCTCGGATGTTGGAGCCTGTACATCTGAATGCAGCCTTATTCCTGAGGCATCAGTGAGGCAGCGATCGATCGGGCGCAGGTACAACCCAAGACACTTGACTATTTCTAATACTATCTATGTTAAATTCAGTCTAGTCTTTTGTATATATTGCATATTCTATATGCCAGCATGCTTTGTTTAAGCCAAATAGAATAGAGTAAGTCACCTCGGCCTCGCCGCCGAATCTATCATAAATGTCTTGAATGAGCAGAATCGAGAAAGAGACATGATATAAAAGCTAGTCAATGGTTCCACACGCTCGGCGACATACAATCACCTCCATTTGGGGACATGCTTCGGAGTAGTCATTTGCTTGGACGGGCGCAAATCCAGGTTTATCGGTCTGGGGAGTTGAAGATGAAGGGTCTCGACGGGAGGCATCGCATACGAAATGGAATGCCTTTGAACACCTGAACGCTCTTATCCGCATCTACTGCGATGATTGTTGCTTAAGGGGAGGAAGGAGGCTGTGATTGTGAAAGACCTGGGTTCATTAATACAATATATTTGTGGCAAACAACGCCCACTGCTAGAATATCGCTCGGTATCCGCGTTTATATTGTATGTCAGAATTACTAGTATCCATCAGTAGGCGGTCCTGTTCAACATTGTTCAGTTATAAATCTTTTGTGCCGGTATGAGCACATCATTTTCGTATCTAGGACATGACCCCCAGCATTAGAAAGACGTTATGCTCACTTACTCTTTTCAGTGGCAGCATACTAATGATCACTTCAGGGCAATGTAGTAACAGCTGCAGTCTTCCCAAGGGACAGAGTACCTTGAGTTTCAACAAAGACGCGTAGAGTCCCTCAGTGCTCAACAAATAAATTCAATCATTGTATAAACAACTAATAAACACTATCTAAAACAATTAAAACGCTTGCAAACATCTATCATACATAATCATCAGCGTCAGCAGCATCAGCAGCATCAGCAGCATCAACAGCACAAGTCCGACCGTCTAGTTCGCGGCCTATCCACAGCATCTCTATGCCAAACGTAATACTCGCATAATGTGCGGCGTCGCCGACTCCGCTCGTCCTCGTGTACTTCGTCGGCCTGCTCGATCTCCTTGTCACGACCGCTATCCTTGTCGTGCACAATATGCTTCCATCCCTCAATAACATCGTCCACCTCCGCCAAATTTCCAACCCCGAGATTGTAGGGCCGATAGTCCGGGTCCCGCTTGAGGCGCTCAATCACACTGTAGTGCAGCTTGGCTCCTTGTGGCAGAGGTCGTCGCAACCCCCCGACATGCCATCGGGTCGATTGCACCCTTCCATCCGGTGCCACTTTGGGCCGCTTGATGGGCAAACACTCGAGCACTCGCCAGAACAACGTCTCCAGCGCCTTGCCCGAGTCGTACATGAGGGAATCATGCAGGATAGCTCGCTCGGCCTGGTGTATCACTTCTGGGTTGCTCTGCTCCTGCTTTTTGAAGTCAAAACAGCCAAGCTTATGTAACTGTTCGGGCTCGTAGGACAGTCCGGCATCGATGGATTCCTCCACCATCCACATAAGGGGGATCTGGCTGGCTACATAGTCTCTGCCCAACTCACGCGGCCATCCACCACCAACGTCGCTATGGTCGCCAGCAAAGTAGACCTCCTCGAACTCCGTCTCTGGAGACGCCATTAAGTCGCTACCCCAGAACTCAACGTCCGCCCGCTCAGCCCATGTACTGACACGACCGATCTTGCCATGCGCCCGTAGCCTCTCAAATAGCACCGGCTGGAATTTAATTCGGCGCTCATCAATGCTAACTGCATGTCGCATGATTCGCGGTTTCGGTTGGATTCGCATGTCTCTATGGTCATCGTAGATGTTGAACTTCGCCACGCTGTTGACTGTATCAAAAAGGCCAAGGAAGTGCACGCGGCCCACGGATCGGCACATCGTGTCGCGGCACATGCGGAGAAAATACTCGGCCTGTTCGGATTCCTTGCCACTGTTGGCAAACTTATACGATGTGAACGCTTCCCAGACAAGGGGCATGATCTCCTCGTTATCAGCTGAGATTAACCCGATAAAGTCAAGCATCTCGTTGAGGAACCGCGCCGTGTAGGCCCCGCGCGAGAAACCAAACAGGTAGATGTGCGACCCGGGGATCCAGCGACGAGCGAGGAATCGGTATCCATAGATAACATGCTGGGCAAAAGAGGTCGCGAGCGCCTCATCGATGATCGCATTGGGGGCGATGTTACTAAAGGGGCGGACAGCCGCGTTAGCGAAGGTCCCAGGCCTGATGTCTTCTCCTATGCCGGCTAAATGATGTCAACAATTGTCATTATAATTCGAAGGAAGCAACATACGCTGGTAGTAGCAGTCTAGTCATGTCAGCGAGTGTCCATTACAGCTATCAAGGTAACTCACATCGGTTTTCCTTCTTGCGGTCTAGCATGCGGAAGATCTTGAGAATGTTGCTATCCCCGCCATCCACGCGGAAAGTGTTCCCTGTTCCATCAAAACAGAGCACTAGCTCTCGCGTCGGGCGGTCTGGCGGGCACAGGCAGTTGCACGAGTCGAGACTCATTTTGCTTCTAATTTGTAGCTGCTTGGAGAGTTTCAGGGACCAGGGCCGGAATCGGGCGACATTTGGTGCTTAAAAGGGCCGACATTGCCTGACAGCTCCGCTCCCATCCTCGGCTGAGGTGTTCAGAGAGTTGGCAGTGTCGAGGCACTGTCGATCCTGTGGGGATAACAATAGCCTGGCAGGAATGGCTGATTGACTCACCGCATATGCAGGGCTTAGCATGTTGTAAGCCATGAAGTCAGCTTTCATGTATGAATTCAGCTGATCGGCAGACGAATGGCAAGAGATTGCTGTAGTTCGTGCTCAGACGATGCCTACCCGGGCTCCCTGGGGTCACTTGAGGTAGAGTCAATCTCGAGAGACCATCCAATCACCACTATCCACACAGAAGGCTGAGCTCCAATCAGTCTGATATCAGCCCAGATTACCACCAGGACACATGGTCAGAATCGTGGCGCAATTCGTGTTCCAGCCTGGTTGGTGAACTTCAGGCGTCCAGTAAGCGGGATATGACCAATCACAGAATATGATGTGATACTGCATTTTTATAGACAATATATGCATGCATCGCCGTTCATTGCAGCGCCCAATCGGCAGATTTAGCGACCCATTGTTGACCAGAAAGGCAACTCGTGTGCCGAGTATCCTGCTTCTACGGGGGTCTCCGGGTTCACCAGAACCACCCAGTCAACTGCTTCAATTTGCCTCCATGGGTTCATGGGTTCACGACAGCCGTGATTTGCCATTGTAAGAGCTCCGAATGATTTACAGCCTTCAGCTCTTGGCCTACTCGCACTGGCAAGTTGAGCCAACGCCACCCTGCCTTGCATCTGCAAAAGGCCGCCTTCCGGTGCAAGTGCGTAATCAGTTTAACCATCTGCGTAGTGATATCACGACAGGGCGACCGAGCCTGTCCGTGAGGAGTTCTCCAGTATTGTCTCAGGCGTATAGTCATATGGCATAGTCGTGGCGAAGGAAGACAGTCTAGTTCGAGCCGTCGCAGTTGCCTTGGAGTGCTTCCAGCTGGCTTCAACTGGACAACGAAAGGACGACTTGCCTTTACAGCTGTTCTTCAGGGCTCACTTATATATATTGGGGTATTACTCTGCATGCGCATGTGCTAAGGGAATATGCCTCCTGTAGCTGTAGCTGTCAAGTTGACACTCAAATGTCATCGTGTCGGCTATTAAGTCAGAGCGACAAGTAGCACTCTCTGAATCGAATAGGCCATCAAATATAGGATGTCTGATTGTCTCCAAACGCTATGTGCTAATGGTCCGCTTCCCATCAAGTGTAGTTAAGATTGTACTCCGTAGCTGCCCAATGTTATTGTCCCGGCTAATAAGCTCAGTTTGAGTTGGCTAGTTCTACTCCACTTTGGCGACTGGACCAAAGAATGGATGCCATGAATCGAGTGGAACACGCCTGTCGATCATTGTTTACTTAGTATCATTCGGTCCTCACAATCAGCTGCTCGTGGTATCCAGGCTAATCAGATGGATCAACTCAGGCGAGATACCTTGCCGGTCGCTGCGACAGTCATTGTAGCGATATGGCTGCTGACGCTGCCGCTCACTCCATCTAAAATGGCTTGAAGTATACTGCTCGATGCAATGCCATACCCTAGTGTGATGATGAGAGCAGGAGGCATAGAGTCAGGAGTAGAGGAGAGAGAGAGAGAAGGGGAGGATGACGTTGACTCCTCAGGCACCAAGTGGACAACCTCAGCTGAACGACCAAACAGTGCAAACACCCACCACATCCTCGATGATCTCACCTCTTCCCTTCTCTACCCTCTCTTCTTAAGGACCATCCAATTACCCCCAGCTGCCCAGTGGGTACTCCCAAAGTGCTGCTAGTATAGATATTATAGGTGCGGATGTCACCATGGCATCCTTATCTGCAGCCAGTCATCAGCAGACCTTCATGCCAATGAAAGCGACCCTATCTTCTAGCATCTGCCTTCCAACTTATGTCGCGCTCTAGGATTTTCACTAGTGTTGCAAGTTACTAATGGTCATTAATCATGTCTTGCTGAAATGCCAGGCCGCATAACTGCGGCTGTTTGCATCGGCGTCTGAAATGGATTCGGTGTGTTACTCCGACCCAAATACCTCATTACCCCCAAATCTACTACGGAGACAATAGACACTGGATGAGCTATCTGAACTGACTGAATGAATCAAATGAATAGGCTACACCTACCAACGCCGCTACCCTCAAGAAGCTCCGAGACCTCTTGCCTCTGAATACGGACAGACCTCTGCGCTGCAGCAAACGACATGGGCTGCTGATCAAGAACCACTTTGAAATAGTAGAGAAGCCACCAAAGTGAATCGCCATACAGTGCAGATGCTCACCAGGAAAGAGGATGTACGGGATTTAGGTAGTTCTTCTGAGATTTTGACCCAGGTGAACCCGCAGGTAAACCCGCAGGAGAGTCTCGCAATATTCCGTATTAAGAGTCTGTTTTTGCAGGGTATGGGAAAGACGGAGGGCAAGTCAGCGGTATACTAAGCTATGATTGGAGACGGCATTGGGAATTCCAACGGTGATTTGACACCTGATACTATATCACCTGGAGAGATAGGCGGTCTAAGGGAGGTTCACAGGCTGCCGAATATGTCTCAGTTGTACAAAAAGCCGAGCATTCAGCGAGCCACCTACCTATCTTACTCAGAATCCGCTTCGCCGAACGACAATCTAAGCAACAAGCAGCAACAACAACAAAACAAGGAACACACGGAGCTACTACCCAGCGAATCACCACCAACAGCCTCAACTAAGCCCAACCTAAAGAATAGAGTTAACCACAAGGTTAAAAGTCCAAGGCTTGGAAGGTACCCTACCGTCCCAAACCCAGCTAACCGGAGACACTTCAAGAAAGCGCCCATAAGAGTTAAGGAGTAAATTTAACTATCAAAAATGTAACCCTCCTCTCCCTCTCACGATTGAAACGCGTTATGACCGTCAAATTAAACATAAAACCATAACCGCAGAGCTAATCCTACGGACATCACCGAGTAGAAGCAGATCCAACTAACAAAACAGGCACGCCTTAGACCAAGACTATGTCCCATGGTTCAATGAACCAGGTCCAGGGGTTACCAAACATAGAATGAAAGACCATAGGATTGTACCATTTTATCTGATGAGTTAGAGAAACTGAAGTAAACAGGTTCTGCATCTTAATCAAATATGTCAACGTAGGCAAACGCAACTAGCCTTGCCCATAAGGCTAACATCCTCTCCAACACAGAGCAAGCCACATAATGCCCACCTCGACCGCTTACCTCACCGCCAAAAGCGGCAGAACTCGGTCGACCTCGCAACGAAAAGTGCGGATATAGACGGCTATAGACGGATATATTTTTCATACAGCTCCGAAACAACGAGTCAGCATTCTGTACGTTTTCTGACCGCCTTGGGCAGTGTGGCAGAAAATGGTCGCTACAAAGATTACTAGACAGTGAGTAGTGGTGGTTAGGCTTTAGCACGAACTTGAACTTAATAGTAGGTTTTTTGCAAAGATGGAGTTGGTATTACCGTCTTATCCTTGGTGGTTTTCTTTTTATTGTGCGTTGGTAGGTAAGTGGTAGGCTCGCCTTACTGAGAGTAAGGATCATAGTACTGTGTGACGATGTCTTGGTAGTCATAGTATATATCTCCCTAATAGAACAACAGGACAACACACGAAGAACTCAACACTGATATCTGTGCAGCTCTGATGGCCTGACTGGCTCTACTATTTATCATCTTTTCATCTAGTACGCTCTTACCATATTGGGAAGTAAGTATACTCGTAGTACAAAAAAACTCTATACTAGCGGTGAAAACACAACCACCAGCACCACCATCGCAGTCTCAACCCAAACTCAACCCCAACCCATTACTAAATTAGCGACAATATGACACCGCACGCCAAACCCCCATCCCGTGCATCTGAAACGGCAATCTTGCAGGAAAAAATATCTATATATGCATGCATGCGGGATATATCTATGACGCAAGCTGCTGAAGATACTGCTAATGGAAGGAGGGGAATGGAAGGGCTGAGGGGAATGAATAGTACTAGATAAAAATAAATAGACTTTGGCTTGTTGCATTTCCTATAACATAAGTGTGTATGTAAATATGCGAGATTGTCACCTAACGGGTTCTGCACCACCTGCAGAATCATCGAGGACAAAAAAGGTTATCGGCAAGGGGTTCAGTCATTATTGCATGACATATATCCCCCCCACACGGACGGGAAATAGTCATGGCGCTCAGCTGTCAGCGTGACACCACTAAGAAAGGTTCAATAAGAGATGCTTTAAGCAAGGGATTAATGGCTTCGTAACACATTAATTTATTAACCAAAAATGAAACAGCTAGCCAACACTGGGATATCTAAGAAAGTAACAAAACTCAAACCAAAACGCGCACAGACAATATGACAGATCTAACGCCGAACAAAATAAACGAGGCATCAAGGTTTCGCCATCAAGGAGACGAACAGCGCTGTTCTTGCTTGGGCACGGCTTCAATCACAGACTCCATCCCCGGATTGTTGTTCCAGATGCCGGTGATTTCCAATCCCACCTCGTCGAGCAGCTCGCGCCACTGGCGCTCAGAGCGCTCCACACCCGAACCGATACTCATCATCTGAATGTCCAACGATGACTGCAGGAGCGGGGCGTTCGTATCCGGCAGGACAAAGTCCACAATGATGATGCGGGAGTACTCAGGGTCCATGGCAGAAATAGTGTTGACCAGAATCTTGCGGCAGATGTGGTCTGGCCAGTCATGGAAGATGGCGCGGAAGTAGTATGCTCTTGCACCTGTCCGTGTGTTAGCTTTGACAAGGAAACAATTGAAGGCCCGTGAGAAATATTGCATACCCTTGATAGGCTGTGGGTCCAAGAAGCTATATCCCATTCCTTCGACTCTCCCGCCAGGACAGCGAGACACCACCTTGGGCAAATCTTGTAGAATGAGCCGGCCAGGGACCTCAGGGTGCCTGTCATGGAACTTCACCAGATCATGACCCTGGTTACCGCCTACGTCGACGAGGAAAGCAGCGTCCCGGTGGTCCATAGCATCATTCGTCAATCGCTCGACGGGATACACATCAAACCAGGTCGGTTTGCCGTGGCGGCGACTCGACATGTACGAGTTGAAGAGCGCTTGGCGGTGCTTGTGCTGCGCAAGCCATTCGAATTGACTCTTCCCAACTGCCCATTGCATGGGTGAACGGGAATACTCCTTCGGGGAGGTGTAGCGGTGTTCCCGAAAATAGTCAGGAAGTTTAGCGAGAGTGGGGAGAGTAAGATCGTATCTATGCCGTCAATATTGTATGCAATAATGCAGGCATTCAAATTAAAGACTTACATGCAAGGAATGCCATCTCTTCCAATCGGCTGAGTAAGTGCGACAGTCTTGTCGTTCGCAGTATATACTTCAGATTCATGGTTTGCGCACAAGCCGAGTGCGGTCATGACTCGCATCAGGCGGACTAAAGGTATAAGCAGAGACCGTGAAGATTTTGGCAATTATCTTACCAATCAATCCCCGCTCAGCACCAGTTTGTGCAGCTAGCTCTGTAGCCGACAGTCCGCGCTTGCTATGCTCCACCAACAATGGGAAGATACCGAGATCCATAACGGTGCGGAGTGCTGCATTTTGTGGTGGCTGCATGCACGTTAAGCGACAGTCACCTGAGCATAAGGGGAAGAAGCAACTTACCTGGTAGATCAAGCGCAGGACCGTCTCCGTTGGAGTCTCAACTGCAAGACGCAGCTCGTCGATCAGGCCGAGCAGCTGGAAATGCGACTGTGCAGACTGGCATGCACCTTGGTCCTGCAAAGCTGTCTGCTTGATAGTCTCCACCAGGGAGAGAACCTTAGACTGGTCGACAGCCATCTTTTATCATACAGAGTAGTAAATTGTAAGAATATACAGAAAAATAATACTATAGCTGGGGTGGTATGAGAGTCGTGAGATGCAAAGATGTAGCAGCGGTGAAACAACATGCAGGTTAAGGGATTATATAGCACTTTCCGCGGAACTGAAAACCGGGCCAGAACTAGATACAATCAATAGTTCAAGCAGTCGATCAATCAGCAAGGATGGCAATCGTGCAATGATGCCCACACCCGGACTCCTGAAAAAAGCAAACCTGGCAGGCCGGTCGCATCCGCCGGGATCCCAAGGCAAGGATAGTTGCAGGACCCTTCAATCTGGGACTTTGTGTCGACGCTTTTCCAATAATTCCGAATGCGGATTGTCGGGCGAGGCCCTAGATCATCATGACACGATAGCAGTAGCAGACGCGTTGTCGCATGAGTCACGCCGCATGGGGTAGAGGTTGAAGATAGTCCAGCCGTATCTTCTCCGGCTATTCTCCTTAGACTTTGGCTTTCTTGGTTCGGCTGACGAACCTCCTCCCATTACGGGACGTCTAATCTATCTGTGGCAATGGCTTTCAATAGCCTGGGGTCAGTTTCGCACGGGCTTTGCTCCCCCTCCTCCCGATGAAAGTTCAATGAATCCTGGCGCATATGCAGAACTTTGTCGTAATCCGGACTGCTCCGCCCATTGTTGAAGGCACACTCAGTAATAGATTTTCTCGCTAGATAAATGCGCAGTACCACTGGGCTGGGGCATCCCGATTACCCTGTTCCTGGACCAGCGCCACAACGCCACTCCGAAAGTACTAAATGCTAAATGTCCGTCAGTCCCCGTAAGATGGCCACCGCTCCCAGCTGGCCCAAGCTCCTCCAGAGCCTGTATGTCGGTATGTATGTATGTACGTGTGTGATTTATGTATGAAGCTATGGCTCCCACTAGCTGTCTGTCCGACGCGGAGATCGCTGGGTGAGATCGTCTGGCCTGAGCATACAGATGTGCCCAACATAGCAACAAAGGAGAAACCCCTCCTCGGGGTCTGCTACTAGAGCCTATCGTTCCAACCATGCGCTCCTGCCGGATAGTGTAACAGGTATTCCGGCCGCTGTTACGATATTAGGCCATACGGATCCGATCCAGAAACCTGGGTAGATACCCGTATGTGGAATCCAATTGGTGTCTTGGTCTGGACTGGCCGCAAAATAGACTCCAGGTCCGTGCTTATCGACGTCAAGTGAGGCAAGCGTATCATCGTCTAACCAGAAGTCCGGGATGTGGTTTGCAATACGATCGACGAAGCTATGAATTCGTCCGACACGTTTGCGATCGCAGTCTCGGGTCCAAATGATATTGCCGCTAGTCCAGGTGCTAGTACCTCATGAGTATGGAGTGAGGCGGTAGATTGATTGAACAAATACCAACAGCATGGAAATCGGCCGCGGTGACACCCGCGTAGATCATTTTTTACTCCCCGGCCCAGTCGTTCCACATTGTAATGTATAATGCTAGTTGTTGCTTTTTTTCTCGATGTTACTGTTTTGGCCCAAGCATCGGGGAGGAAGTGTGTACTTCTGCCTTGGCTAGTTGCATTGGGCTCTTGACAACAGACACAAAGGTGCTTATCTCTTGAATAACTATCTAGTCATGCAAGCTATAGGGTGGTTAGCTGGGCTAGACCGTCGATCCCTCAACAAATCCGCCTTACGTTAATATCCGGCTGCAATTTGGTACACGGACCAGCCAATCGTGACGAATTATCGCACTAATTCAGGAATAAAAGGCGGGAGATTAGATAGATCATGCGCTGGTAACCCAATATTAGTCATTTCTTTTCCAGCTCCCCGGCTTAGGGTGGCGGATCGGATAGCCGGCATTGTCAATAGGGGTGCTTGTGTAAGATTCGGTGAGCGGCTGAAGGCAGATGAGAGCAGTCGATAGGCCAGCCACAATGGATACTGACAGTATTGGCGCCTTCAGTCTGCATCTCACGGCGACTAGATCCCAAACCTGCAATGCTACCGGCGGATCAACCTCCCGGCCCTGGGTGCTCCACTTTGGACGGAAGTTATGGGTACATGCCTTTATCGTAGCGCCGGGGCCCCATCAGGTGGTACTATGTGCCAGGTGAGGTTCCAACAGCGGCAATACCCAGAAGGCGCTTCCCGGGTAGTCACCGAGGACTTTTGCCCTATCGTACAGGTCACATCATAAGAAGTACTGCTTGGTTTGACCCACCCGAGTTCAGCTCGTGGCGTTCCGATCGGATGGGAATTGAGACCTATTGATAGAGCAGAATCGATCGATGATCAGGCTACCGTGTTGCAGAATCTTCTAGCTCCAGTGGCAAGCATTGTATGTGAAACCAACTTCGGATCCAGAAACAATATCGAAATCATATCATATAGAGCGTAGTATTAGGAGAAAAGAAATTTCAGCAGGAGTGAGGCGGAGAATTTGTCAATCGAGCACCTCGCTCCGGTGTTGCGGATATTCGCACGGTCCGCACTGGCCAAGTACCGGGCTTTGATGGATGCAAAGGAGAAAAGTACCAGCTGCAGAAGTCCGGTGCACGGGCCAGTTCGTCGACTCGAAGGGCGGCGATTATGGCTGGTATGACAATAATGACTCGACCCAAACTAACGAATTCAATTTCAAGCCATCTCGGGTGGCGGTGCAGAGCGTGAGACGAGTTCGCTGTCCGCCGTACTTCCTGACTGTGTAAGGGGTTCGGTTGTTTTCATTATAGACCGGATACGCCTCCGTTGAGACCGGGGCTGAAGTGTGCGACAGCCATATTTTCAAGGCCCCACCTCAGTAGACAGGTCAGAAACAGGCCATCGAGGAAGGTTGAACGCGAGTACTCGGACATGGCTTTCTGCACGGGTACATCGTCCTTTGTCGGTGGAGCCATCATCCCCAGCCAATTTTGCTGTGACACTCTAATTTTGGGGGATGGGCATTTGTCAGCCTGAGAGGACGTCGGGTCTCGCCTTCCTTCCCCCAAAGTCCCAACCCAAGCCTAGGGAACGAACAAAGCCGAGGAGGAAAAAAACAAATATAGAGAAAAAACAAAGCAAAGAGGGGTTGTCCACTGCTTAGCTGTCTCTGTAAGAAAAGCTGATCAGCGATCGATCTTCCACTCCCGAGGGCGCGATCCAGGTTCCTGGGCCGGGAACCCGGTTACTGGGGCGGGACTTCATCCTAGCCTGCCCTAGTCCCTCGGCTGGATGGACGCTGATTGTTGACAATCCCTGCACTATTGGGGCCGTCCTTATGTCGCAGGATGCAACATTATGCAACCAGCCCATCATGCTGCGAACTCTGCTTCCGCTCGTGCATCATCTGCTGCAGTGTGACTGACAAATTTCACCGCACCCGCGCGCTGTCATCCACTCAGCTTGGACCATCGCACGGACAGGCAAGAGCTCTGGTGTCATCCGAGACCAAATCAAGCCTGTTCTGTTCCTTGATTTGACAGCACCTGATCGCGATCGCGCATCCATGGTCCGGCCAGATTTGGGCCCGTGCTGGCTTTAGGGTTCTGATTAACTTTAGGAATTGCCACAGTTCGCATACGTAGTGGCCCCTGTAATTAACTCTCCTGATGGTCCTAGTGTCTGAGGGGACGTCATTCCCAGTGGAGATCATCAGCCTGACAGTTTGCGTTTCCTAGTCATACACCGCTTCGTTTCGTGCAGGGATCGGAAACCCAAACTGTGGGAACCAACAGGCCGCGACTGTTCCTAGTAGGTCCGGACTCCGTGCATCTCCACCGACGTCCAGGCGAAATAGCAAACATGATCGATGTATGTACCCACCTCATCCTGGCTCCTGGACTTAAATAGGCCTTGGTTTCCCCCAACATCAGCATCTCAGGTTTATCTGATGTACAGCTTCGTCAACTTTCATCATGGGAATTCCTCAGTATGACGGGGTCACAGACCAGGGCCCCAAGCCGACAACAAACACCACAGACCAAGTTGTTGCACGCTTTGGCCGTCTTCATCTCTTAGATGACTTGATCCGCCTGCGAGCAGCTGATTATATCCAACATCCCATATTGGCTTATCCTAAGCCCTCTCAAAATGGATCCGTGTCCTATGAGTACTTCAACGGTCAGGATCTTGACTGCATGATCGATTATGCGGTCTGCACATTAATGGACTACGGTTTCAAGCCGGTATGTGATGAAGCCCTGCATTTCAATCGCAATGCTGACAACCTTCCAGGCCCGGAAAGAAGGAGCAACGGTTGCTCTTTTCACACTATCAGATCTCAACATGGTGATCACTTTCTTCGCCCTTAGCAGACTCGGATATACAGTCATGATGTTGTCACCACGCCTATCAGCCACTGCGTGTGTTTCCTTATTAGACACCGTCGGCTGTAACACGATACTATACGGCCAATCGCCGAATATTCGCGCCACAATGGGTGAAGTCCTTCGTCTAAAACTGATTGCATGTCGGCCAATCATCGAAAGACCCTCTCCAGAAGAGCTATCAGAAGACTCTGATGCTGTTGTGATTTGTCGGAGTCGCCGCCCCGAACTCCAAGTTGAAAAGACTGCTCTGATCCTGCACTCTTCAGGATCAACAGGCACCCCCAAGCCTCTCTATCTAAGCCACAAAGCCCTGATGACACATCCGATGCGGGGTCCTGGGTTCACTTCGTTCAATTCACTGCCATGGTATCATCTTCACGGGCTATCCACAGCCTTGCAAGCCATGTACATGCGACGAACAGCATATATGTGGGATGCCTCTCTGCCATTAACCGCAAGTACGGCAGTTGCTGCGCTGGAAGCAGCACGACCGGAATCGGTTCAAGGAGTCCCATACCTACTCCAACTGCTTGTCGACAGCCCACGCGGGCTCAAAGCTTTGAGAGCTTGCAAGTCTGTTACATACGGTGGTGCACCATGCCCCGATGAGCTAGGTGATAGACTCGTAGACGAGGGTGTCAAATTCGGAGGTTCATTCGGGCTGTATGTATTCATCAGCATTCCCAGCTAGCTGTGTTGCTAACTCGCTCTTAGAACGGAGGCCGGCCTGGTCGCAGAGTCGATTTCTCGGCCAGCAGGAGATCCCTTTTGGAACTATATGCGCTTCTTTGACAACATCAAGCCGTTTATCTGGATGAAGCCTATCAGTGACGCGCTCTATGAGGTTGTCTACCTCAAAGGCCATCCCGCATTGACGGCATCCAATTCCAATGAACCCCCTGGCTCATACCACTCTCGTGATGTTTTCACTCCACACCCAACTCTCGCCGACCGATGGAAGTACGTTTCGCGTCTGGATGACCGAATCACGCTTGTCAATGGTGAGAAGGTCCTTCCTCTCCCAATTGAAGGCTGCATCAAGCAGAGCCCTCTTGTTCAGGAAGCAGTTGTTGTCGGCGTCAACAAGGCCGTTCCTGGCCTACTAGTTTTCCGTACGGAAAGCTCCCAGATGTTCTCTGATGAAGAGTTCTTGGATCTTCTTTGGCCAACGGTGGAAGAAGCCAATTCTCGGGCAGAGCAATTCTCTCAAATATCCCGCGATATGATCCTTGTCTTGCCCCATGACTGCACCTGTCCTCGGACAGACAAGGGATCAATGATCAGAGCCCAGGTATATGCGAAGTATGCTGAAACCATTGAAAACATGTATACAACACTTGAGCAAACAGCCGACGGGACTCTCAAGCTGGACTTGACCGCAACGGAGAACCATCTGATCAAGCTCTGTCACGAAGAGCTTGGATTCCCTATCTCTACCCCTAACTCTGACTTCTTCGCCGAGGGCCTAGACAGCCTGAAGGCAATCCATCTTCGTCGCTTAATATTAAGGGACTTCAAAGTAGAAGACCCCAAGGACATCGGCCACAATGTCGCTTTCGAAACTGGAAACATTGTTCGCTTAGCAGAGCATATCCACCTGATTCAATCGGGTCAAAAAGATATGGTCGAGGATGAGGTCTCCATGATGCCCGAGCTCATTGAGAAGTACTCCGTCTTCCAGAAGCATACACCAAGCCCCAGCTCCGCGGCAACGCGAAAGAGTGTTGTAAGTTCTGTACCTCACCAACCGCATCAATTCTCGACTAACAAGCGCAGGTCCTCACTGGAGCAACCGGTTCTATCGGCGCTCATACTCTCTACAAGCTCCTGAATGACGACAGTGTGTCTGCCGTGTATTGCCTAACACGGAGGTCTCAACCCAAAAAGGCGGTCATTGATGCCCTCGCACAGAAAGGCCTCTCGGTCCTTCCTTACCGACTGCAGAAGATCGTTGCACTCAACAGCTCTCTTGAAGAGCCTGACCTAGGAGTAGGTGAGAGCATGATGGCAGAGATGCGGCAATCCGTATCTCTCATCATCCACACCGCATGGCCTGTCAACTTCAACCTTCCGCTCATGAGCTTTGAGTCTCACATCAAAGGGCTGCAGAACCTCATAAACTTCTCCCTATCCGTGAACCTCCCTGACCCAGCAGTCCTCCTCTTCTGCTCCTCTATCTCAACAGCTCTCGGTGCCTCTTCCGACGTAGACGAGAGACCAATTGAAGATCTTGCTAGCGCTCTTGAGATGGGATACGGACGCTCAAAACTGATCGGCGAGAAGATCGTCAGCAATGCTCGCAGGGCTGGTGCACGCACATACTCCCTTCGGATCGGACAAGTGTCCGGTCACTCGAAGAAGGGATTGTGGAACGACTCGGAGGCCATTCCTCTGATGATCCGCTCAGCTCTGACACTGAAAGCTTTGCCTGACCTCGACATCACATGTTCTTGGCTACCCGTCGACAAGCTTGCCTGCTCCATGCTTGAACTGGCCCGTACGTGTTCCTTCAACTCTCTCGAGGACAGCTGCGACGACGCAACATCTGGCAAGTGGGTCGACGACACCATCTACAACCTTTGCAACCCCCGTGTCTTCACCTGGTCATCTTTGCTCGATACACTCAAACGCAGCGGGTTCTCATTCGAGACCGTCCCGTTTGAGAATTGGCTGCAGATGCTTCGCGAAAGTGAAGCTAGAGGAGAGGAGATGATCAATCCAGCTGTGAAACTGACGGCTCATTACGAGTCAATGTACAGTGAGGATGCCCCGAAACCGGTCAGGTTCCTCACTGAGAAAGCAGAAAGAGATAGTATGACGCTGAGGAATGGTCGGTTGAGGATTGTTCAGGATGGTATCCTCACTCGGTATGCGCAGGACTGGTTGAAGCGATGGAAGTCAGCTTAAGGGCCCACGAGACTACGATGATCTCTTCATGTCGATAATTACCTGTAAATAGTTCACGATCTTCTAGATACCACAGTTGGATTTGGAGTTAGCAGTTCAATTGATCATTTTCACAATCTGAAGACAATGACACTGTAATACCTTAAGTTCCTGAAGATCAGAGAAGACAGAAGAAAGCATAGTCTTTATGATGGACAGATGAAGTCTGATGGTAGAGTTGGGGAAGTCTCAATCTAGACGCAGTTGCTCTTTTCGTCACTGCCGTCACATGACAAGTGATAATAGCATGGCGCAAGAATATTCTCCGATGTGCGCGATTTACTGCATCCCCTGGGTGAATGTTACGCCAACATAATCGTGGATAGTATATCGTATTCTAATTGATTAACTATCTAAGCTCGGTATTTCGAAGTATAGCCGAAAGAGAGCGGATATCGCACGCGATGGAAAGGTGTGGACCAGGGCGACAAGTGGGATGCTTCAAGCAAGGCAACCAGCCTATAGTACATAAAAAAACACTAGCTTGCAAACAAAGCCTCTATCGACGACTTGTAATGGGGAAGAAGCAAAATGAATGCGGGTAATCAACAAAAAGCAAAAATCGCCCCCTTAAGCCAACAAAGCAAAAGCAAGAACACTGAGGACGCTGGATGCACCAAGAGTCAACTTGTTTGCACCACCGGTGAAGACAGGTGTCGAGGGAGTAGTAGCAGACGAGGAACCATGGCCAGAGGAGCCAGAATTAGATCCGGAAGCAGAGCTACCCTGGGTGGCAGCGGCAGCATTGTTGGCAGCGGCAGCGGAGGTCGGAACACGACTCGAACCAGTAGATGAGGGTGCAGTGGCAAATGCATGGCTAGACGAGCTTGGGGCAGGTCTACCGTACGCAGCAGCACTGGAGGGTACAGACCCATAGGAGTGAGCTCCGGCCTGGGAGCCCGACGAATGGCTGGAGCTGCCCTCGCTACCGTTAGCTTCCGCACTTGCACCACTAACGGAGGAAGGCGCAGCAGAAGAGCCGGCATTAGCGCCAGCAGATGCAGGAGTGCTCTCATTATCACCGGCTTGTGCGCTGGCGCCGCTCACATTGGATGCGGTCGCAGCATTGGAAGAGGCGCTGTCATTTCCATTCGCCTCGGCGCTTGCACCAGTGACGCTGGATGGGATGGAAGGAGCGACAGTCTTGGCCTCAGAAGAAGCAGAAGAGTCCTCGCTGCCATTCGCTTCAGCGCTCGCACCAGTGCTGCTGACATTAGACGGTGTAGCAGCAGCAGAGGCGCTCTCGCTACTGTCTGCTTCGCCACTTGCACCAGTGGTGCTGACACTAGACGGTGTAGCACCAGCAACGCTGCCTGCTTCAGAAGCAGATGAGCTCTCGCTACCATTTGCTTCGGCGCTTGCGCCAGTAGCAGTCGAGGGAGTAGTTACAGCGGCAGAAGTGCTCTCACTTTCATTAGCCTCAGCGCTAGCGCCAGTGACGCTAGATGGGGTTGCAGCCGCAGGACTGCCTTCGCTGTTGCTAGCCTCGGTAGCCTCGGAGCTTCCGTCAGCAAGAGCAGCCGCCGCAGAGGAGCTCTCGGCAATAGGGCAGATAGTGGTGGTCATAGTAACATAGTGAGTCGAGGTCGAGGCAGAAGAACCGTTCTTATCGGCGGCAGAGGTCTCGGTAGATGCGGCGACAGTAGTGGCTTCAGCCATGGTTGTAGCAGTCTCGGCATCAGCGGTGCTGGTGACAGCAATAGTGGCAGCGGTAGTGGTCGCAACAACGGAGTTAGTGCCTTCCCTAACAGCGGAGATCGTCTCAGCAACACTGGCTGCGGATTCAACGTGGGAAGCGGAAGCGGAAGCGGAGGCTGCGACACCAGTCTGGTAAATCTTGATGTAATTGATTTCCCAGTAAGACTCCGCGAACGCCGTTGGGTTCTCGGCGACATAAGCAACGCAGCTCTTGAAGGAGCTGCTGCTATCGCTCACAGGGCAGCCCGAGGTGCTGTAAACGCCGCCAGCCCAGTCACCGCAGAAGGTGGTGTCGAAGATGAATTGCTGGGCTTTGAAGTGTTCGGCGATGCTGCACGAGCCCTCCATATGGGCCATGGGAGTGCCGAAAGCAGCAACATCGGGGTCGCCTTTGGTGATAGAGCTGGGAATCGAACCACGAGGGAAGAACCAGAACTTGAGGAATTCATCGGTCCACTGCATGGCGTAGACACCACCACCGTTCTCGTTGAACGGAGTGCCAGAAGAACCTTGGGTGCCCTCAACAACACATCCAGTGGTACCCGCATCTTCACCACATTCCGTAGAGGTAAGCGTGCCGCTCATCTTCTGGCTGGAAACTTGACAGGTGCCGCTCGTATGCAGGACAATCTCGTTCGCTTCGTTCTTATTGACGCCCTCGATGATATCTATTTCACCATCCGTCGGCCAGTTTTTGCCTGTGGACCAAAAGGCGGGCCAGGTACCGCAGACGCTTCCGGGCATGTGCTGAAGATCGATAATAAACAGTCCCTCGTCATAATACTTGTTGCTCCCAATGCGGACCGACTCCCGGCCAGGACCGTTGGTACTCAGCTTCGTTGTATGGTCGACACCCATGTAGAAGGTACCGTTAGAGTTGACCTTGACCAGCCCGGTGCTTTCGGCATAGCTCTGATTAGCGTACGTGACGAATCCATTCGTGGGGTCAGCGCCTGTGTAAAAGTCAAAAGCCGTAAGGAAGTCCTCGCCCTTCCAGGTTTCCACAAGTTCATAACTGCTGGCCGCGGCGGGCAGGACCATCGATGAAAGAGCGAGCGACCCTACGCTCCATAGTAGGGTTGAGGTAGGCATGGTCACTATGTTCGGTCAAGCAATTGTGTGGTTAGAGAAGGTAAGCCCCGAGGACTTGAAAGGATTAGGATAACCAGAGGATTTAGGGACGGAGGTTTATTTGAAAACGATCGACGTTTAGAACGAAAAGGAATGGAAAGTAGCCCTCTAGGCGTATAATGTGCAAAAAAGAAAGTAGCACAGAAGTGCAGAAATCAATCTGCGAGTCAAAAATAAGAAAATAGAGAACGTAAGTAGGAAAAAGATGGGCGCAAGGAGAAATATGTAGAGAATGTACACAACAATGTGGGAGCATGACGCAGACCGGGGGGGGGTAGGCCGGGCGATATACAAATAATAACAGCAACACCCCGACATCAAAATTAGCGTGGCTTCTGCCCAGGTGGCTGCAGGCCACTAGCATTATTCTCAAGATCCATAGCAAATCAGCTTGAGTGTTCTTGTCGCCTGGGCCATTCACTGGGCGGCTCGTTGGCGCCCATTGGGAGGACGACGGTTCGTGCCTGGGAGGGGTCGGCAGGTACATGACGAATCAGAGCAGAAAGAAGGTTACAGACAGAATGCATCTTGATGAGTCCACAGCCTTCATTCTTTGGCCAGGCATGTCGGGTGGATCGGCGACAAAGAGTCAACACCGCGATGGTGGAGCCTGAAACACGACCAGAGAGCTCGGCGGGATGACATGAAACAGGAGAAGCCCAAAGATTCGACTAGCACAAGGATAGTGTTTTTCTTCACGTTGGACAAACCAGGTCCTAATTTTAACGGGAACCTGCTGCATGTCGGTTTTTAAACTCCCTTTGTGGACCATCAGACCCAGCGACCGAGTAAAAAGAGAATTGGTGATGTCCCTGCCACTATCCCGGCAACCGTCACATTCCCAACCCATCAGAGGCAACAAGTGACAGGTCGCGATCGCTGAGCATCCGGACGAGATTGCCGATCCGGGGCACCACTCCGTGGCCTGGGCTGTGGTCGGGGATGGAAGTACTCATTAGTGAAAGGCGAATTATTTTAGGAACATGCCTTCTTTTCCAGCAGAGTATGAGCCGACGTTGTAGGCTAATGGAGTCTAGACACTGGGTGGGGATGGGCTGACCACGCCGTTGTTTCTTGGTGCCGGCATGGCGGAAGTTGGAGGGTCACCTAAAGATAAGACGAGAATAACCGGCGGTGGATTAGCGACATCACGGCCTGCGTAAAGCAGTCGCGTTTCTATTCTAATAGTAACTAAAATGATGCTCTCGAGGACCGTTACTTTGGTCCGAAGAGTGAAGAGAAATTGGAGACACAGGCAGGCGCATGAAGAATGAAAGATGGAATCCTGGAAGAATGCAAGCGGAGCCCAAAATGGACTAGCGCAGTCAGCCACGGGATCGCGCGCCTCTCCTGTGGCTGGAATGGCAAAGCCCATCGGCATGGGCTGAGCCCCCCCTGGCGACGACGACTTTATTTCCAAGTTTGTGCCGTTCTATGCGCTACGTACAGATTCCACGCGAATGGTTGAGCCGTGGCCTTCCCCATAACCCGCGATACTACTTCCATGGGTCGGTGGTGGTGAATACAAGCCCTCCGATGCAATGTCCGCGCGGTGTCTTGTCCGCCGCCTAAGCATTCACCAGGAAAATGTGTGACGAAATATAAGCTTACGTATATCTCAAGATCAGGTCTGTAGAGCCAGGTCAGCCTCACAAACCCTTGCGTAACTGGCTTTCGTTGTCATTTCAACCAATTTCCGTCGCACAAACTGAATCTTCGCAGTATTCTCTTCCGTTCATTGCTAGAGGAACCTGGCTAGAAGGAAATGCCAAGAAGCCTCCTTGGAGATATACAAATTTTCTTTTTCTTGTGGAATATCGCTTATATCACCTTTATCTGTCGGTCCTTACATCTATAGCACAATCTGAGCAGCTGGAGCTCCAAACCTCTTCGAATTTTCTTTCCTAGTCTAAACAGCAAGTGATGGACATGTAGGGCCAGGTGTGTTGCCAGTTGCCATAGGCTCCATGAACTCTTCCACACACTTAGCCGCACGTGCATACCCTCGAGGGGGGAAAAAATGTTCGATGTGCCTCTAAATTTGCATGGTCATGTCATCTGCCCCGTCGCCGGGCCCCATCTGTCTGGTACTTGTCTCCACAGCAGCGCGTCCCTCTATGAAAGACTTGAGCATGGCCAGAGGAACCTGGTCACGGAAATACTTCCTCCGTGATATTTATAAATATGGCTGCATGGTTGGAAATGGGTCTCGGAAACTCACGCACGTATTATACAAGTGCATGGGACTTAGGTCATAGCGCCTTAGATTGGCGGAAAAGTAGATAAGATCCCGAGCCAGAAACCGTGAGTACGAAGCTTTGCATACTAGCATGTAGTACACCATCCGATATTGGTCCCGGTCGGAGTAGGTTGATTCCAAAGTCAGCATTTGCTGTTTGTGCTAGCAGACACAACCCCTTGTTGTAAAGCGACCGTCGGTGCGGCTGAAGGAGGACGGTGACCACGTAGTTGACATTACGTCAGGTGTAATTCGCAGGCTGGTAGGTCGGGCACAGTCGTTATTCGTGAAAATATCAACACTGGTTTTAAATGAGAATGGCCCTAGCAGTGATGGGTGGCAGGTGGGCTGTAGATCCTGAATGACTTCCTGATCAAGCGTAGGGATCTAGGTAAGGAAGAATAGTATTACCCATGCCCATCACTGTGGTAATAAAGAGAGGTGTGGCCATAGTTCCCACAATGAAATTCTCAGGAGCATGACAGTGAGCTAAAGCAACTAAGCAGCTATCCTTCCTGCAAGGGTTAACAGCATGCTCGCTGATCAGGGATACAGATATGGCTATCCCTCTTCGCCATTCTTCCTTATGCTTCAATGGTCTGTCTTGCAAGTCGCTCGCTAAAGCCCGCAAAAGAGATGTCCGGTGACCCAGAGGCATCCTCCGAGATGTATGAAAAATCAGACTAGCTATGTTCATAAATCATGGTAGTAATGTAAGCCACATTCTCGTAAAATGCAGCCATTACCTCATCTCCATACACAGGTCTGGAGAGCGTTCTCCACGTCACGGCGACGGAAACCCGGCGTCCAACCAAGGCATATTGCATTTGCGGACAGTGCTACCAATAAGTGAGTATTTATGACTGAAAAGCAAGGAGCAGAATCAAGAAGGTCATACCCTGTATGAAACGTGCTGCATTGATCGCTGTTCCCTTGAGGCGATGGCGCGCGTGATCCATGGGAGGATATGCGAGAAGATGTACATCATGCTCCCGCAGGTATCCTTCCAGGTCACCCATGTCGAACCAGTCCCCTTCAAGCTTGGTCTGTATATCTTGCGGAAAGTGCGATAGTGATCGCACGGAAACCCACCGCACTCCAGGCCGGAATGGACGATCAGCTGCTTTACACTTCAGGGAAGATCGAGAGTAATGGGTTCCTGCGCCCCCCAGACTGAAGAAGGGTACCTCTTCCCACTCCTCAAAATATCTTCGACTCTCTTTCTCATTGAGCGCGGCTTGAAAATATGACGCGATACGATTCCTGTCCATAATCTGAAGTAGTAGGCAGAAATGCTTCCGTATCCGGTCTATACTGATGGATTCGTCACAAAGGGCGAAACACCCTTGATAGACACATGACATGTGGAGTCTATCTGTGAACACAGTCAAGTCCATTTCGGCTGTTTCAAGTGACTCGAAGAAGCGAGGAATGTTTCTGTTCCGCGTCTCCCTAAGCTCCAGCTGTAGACTAGGCTCTAAGATGGGGGAAACGCTCTCGTCCAGTTCCACAATCTGTGCTGATTGTCTGTGCTGTTCATGCGCCAGAAAATCCGGCAAGCCATCTTCGGTTTGGGGTGGCGAAATCATCGTAACCTCCTGAGGGCTATCATTGCTAGCCTCTCTGGCTAGGGTGAGACATGTCTGTACGGTATCGCGCAGGTGCTCTGTCAGACCCGCATGTGATGCCAACACTCCTGACTGAACCAGCTCGTCACTGAGCGATAAAACAGCCGTACTCATTTTTTCCACGATGCCTTCGAGTTCGGAGATGCGACCTTTCAAAGACGAGAGGTTGGCCTCTTTTCGTGAGCGATATGCGCGTTGCGCAAGTCGGATCTGTCTCCGACGTCTCTGCTCGAGTTGATCAATGTCCCGGTAGTAGCGCACAAACGAACAGAGTCTCGCATACCTCTTCTGGATCTTCATCTGCGGTGTCATCGACTACTTTTCGCGGTCGACCCCTTTTGGTGAGTGATGTTGAGCCGCGCTTATCTACGTCGCTGCGAGTGCGTTTCAGAGACTTTACTGCCGGTTCAGCCGGTTGGGTGTCGTTATTGTAAAGAAGCAGTTGGTTTTCCGGTATGATTCCACCAAGAAGTGGGAATTGGGCATTTCGTTGTCTCCTGATCTGTTGGGGCACGGGATACGAGCAAGCCGAGAGCAGCGATGTTATCTGCGGGGCGGTCGAGTCACACTGAGATCCAAAAAACTCATCGTTGACAGTCTCCCAGGGGACTAAAGCCGTGTCTGAGTCGCTCATATTCATTTTTGAGAATAGACAAGATATTTCATCATTCACCGTGATGGTTTGTTTGTACGGAAGAGCTGGTGGAGGTGGTGCAGAGAAAAGTCAAAGACAGAAGTGCTGCTGACATATCCTGTGCCTGCCGTCCTGTCGCCACACGTCACTGCATCTAACCCGTCCAGACCGGGTCCATTTATTCTTTGTTGGGGTGGATTAGCATAAAGTAAGGTTATAAACAGCTTAGAAACTTCACGTTATGCATGAATATCTCAGACACTAAGTGGATGATGTGCTTGTGAGTGTGTGCTGGTTGGGCAAAAGGGAGACGGGAAAGATGCCTCGGCTCGGGCTGTTCACTAATCAAAAATTTTGATCATCGTCTCATCCGCCCTACAACACCATAAACAGTGGGAAATAAGATTCCTTTTAAACCTTAATGCAAGTTAACTAAGTTAAGTGTTTTACAATAATACTTATCTAGGCCGGTTTTCAGTTTCAGTACTTTTATGATGAATCTCAATGCAAAGCAATTCGCGAAAGAAAGCGCATCCTATGTTAAGGTAGTCTCGTTAAATAGGGAACTATCATGAATTATCCCAGTCGCCACCTAGACCAGTCGGTATCTGAACTGTATTGAGTTCCTCTTTTTCGCCCACTTGACGTCTAATTCCCCTTAGCACATAGTCTAAATGTCAGCCTGAACAGCAGATTTTGTGATAATCATTTCTGGCTCCACCGCCAAGACCTCCGTAAATGTTTATTGATACACAGGCTTTGATCCTATCTAGACGGCGCACTACAAAACCACTTCCATTACTATTTTACTGTAATATAAAGGAGACCACTGATCACATATTTGACCCCTTCATTTCCAGCATCTACATCCCAGACATACTTTCCACAATTTTCCCGTCCATCATAGTCGTTTGGGTCTTCACGGGCAGTCCCAAGCATCTCGATCTTTCCAGAAATGCTTGCTTGATCGCCTCATCGCACTCATCAGGATAAGTCATCATATGCACCTTTATCCCTGTTTGCTTCTGCCACTCCTTCACTATCTCGTAAGATGACTGTGGACAGAGACACGCTCTTATCACCACCATGCCCACGTAATCACGCCCCTCTAATGGATACGGATTCGACACTAGCTCAGCCGAAATAGGAAGCCCTCCCAACTCCGACTCAAGAAACGACGCCAACTGACCCTGAATACAGGCCTCATGAAGGGCCATTTCATCTCCGCCCTGGGTGAAGAACTTCGTGTAGGCTTGTCGGAGGTCACTCAGTTCTAGTGTTCGACAGTTGGAGAATCCGTAATCCACGAGAACGCTACGGTGGGGTTCTGCACATGACACGCGAGTAAACCGTTTTAGTTCCCATACACTCTGGTACCACGTTCCGACAGCCCTCAAAAGGATCTCAAAATTCCGCATTTCTTTGATTGCATGGCCAAGACCGTACTTTCTGAACAGATCGACCATCTTCGATTCTGCCATGGCCTTCCAGAACTCTTCGAATTCACATCTATCGACAAGCACCCTGTATAGCTTCGCCAATTGCTGGGTTTCGTCGCCATCCCGAGCTGTGCAGAAACCAAGGTAAATCCAGTTATCCTCATCGGCGTCGGGGACATACCCATTTCGAATCTGGCAAAGGAATACATAGGCTTCCAGCTTTTCCCGTGGCTTCAACTTTTCATATGGAACCTGCTGATCTTCGCGCTTGAGTATGTGTTTTTGAGATTCGAACACAACATTAAAATCAGTTAATCTGTTGGCAGCAAAGCCATTCTGCTGACTTAGCCAATGGCTTTCAGCGTGGATCAAAGATGATGGTATCTGGGAGCTTCGAAACAGAATAAATTCTTTCAATTTGTTTTGCTGCCATGCCTCTCGAAGCTCATCCTCTTCCACACCCCACTCATTTACGAGTCTGCAGTACAGCCTGAAGAGTCTCCGTAGATCAGCCGCTGATGTAAAGTAGAGGAGCCCGAAGGCCTTAGAGACATCATCATCTTTGGGCAGTTCCTCTGTCTTGCATGCAATCATGAAATAATCAACCTCGTCTATTGGTCGTCCAAGGCTGCAGTCGAACTTATGTCTTAGCCAGTGAGTTGTTTGGCACTCTCTACTGCAGTAGAATGTTGAGCCGCATTTGGAGCAGGGAGTCAGATCCTCGGTTGCGGTACATCTAGCACAAGCTACTGATGTGGTTTTCGACGTAGGACGAACACAAGGAATCTCTGGAGGCAATGCACTTTCCATATCGGAACTACGCGATATGTCTTGGGTGCTACAATCGGTTTTGTTCGTTCTAGAATAGGTATTAATGAAATCCCTCTTCTTTTGACAAGACACAGAGCTCTTAGCTGACATTGATTTCCCTTGGACTGCGACGTGAGAGCCACTCTGATTCTCTCGCTTGGAGTTTGGGGTCTGGTACATGGCGAGAAAACGGTGACCAGACACGCATCTGTTCTGGTGCAACTGGCGTTGAGAGAGTTGACTCCTTAACTGCAGAGATACGGTAATCAGGTTTTAGAGCACATTCACGCTGCATCACATCCCGGAGGTTTCGAGCAGCATTGTTCAGTGTCTCATGGTACTTTTGCGGCATGATAAGCGAATTCGGCAATGTCCATTGCGAGTATACCTTTCCATGATTATCACGCGCTTGAAATTGGGATAGACTTTGCAGAAAGTGACCGCACATGAAACAGGTCTTCTTGCTAATGCCGAGATATTGTGGTGTTGGGGACATGCGGTCAGTACTCATGAGGTGTAGAGCCAACCTCACTTCCGCATGTACCCATTTCTTTTTGCGGAGGCACTCATCCAATCTCCCTCGCTCTCTGTTCGATGGCAATATTGGGCATATTGAGGGTGATGGAGCTACTCTTTCAGCTTTGTATCCGGGCAGAAGCTCGATTTTCACCCGCTTAAAGTTCGAGATCTCGCGCGCTGCTTTATAGAATGTGTCAGCAGCGTTAAGAGGGCGACAAATAAAACCCAGCTCTTGCACTATCTTCTTTGCTTTTGGCACTACCTTAATCCTGGAATAGAAGTCGGTATTGTAGCAAATTTCGTTGACCTCGTTGACAAGGACTTGTGAAGAGATGCGTCGGGAAAGAAAGTCCTTTAGGAAAGAGACCAGGCCGGTCACCTCTTTTACTGTTTTTAAGGAATTGATGAGTTGTTTGGCATGGTAGTCCAGGCGTGGGGTATAGTATTCGCTGAATTTCCTTTCCAGGTCCGGCTCAGGGCCCGGGATGAAAGGATCTGAGGCCGATGTTAAACCCAACGAGGAAGAAGACACATATGATGCCCAAGCTTACCCCTCACTGCTAGTTGTTCCAGCGTGCTTGCCAAACTTTCTAGGAGACTAATGTTCTTGTCTTTCCAGGAAGCGTTCCGTGACGCGAGAATAGTAACCTCCTCTTCTCCTTCCCGTATATACGTGCAAGTCACATAATGTGCATTCTTCTCATAGCACAACAACTCGGCCAGTCGATCTAGAAAGCACCTTTTCAAGTCCTTTGTACTTTCCGAAGCTAAAGGAGCGACAATGGCCGAGGATCCAAGTCCATGGTTGCCTAGTTTCTCATCACTTGAGCTTTCTGCGTCTTCAGATTCTGCATCGTCTTCGTCCTCTTTTCTTGCAAGGGGAGTACGCTGTTGGTGCTGGACCTGAATGATGGCAGCTAGCGTTGTGATCTGGGATTCTATCTCGTTTGGGAGATTCCAAACACCAGTCTCGAGGCCAGCTGGCGGGCGAGGCAGGTGGAGCTTCGTAACGTGTTTCATTCTGTTGTGAACAACAAGAGCTGCATGAAATAGAATCTATAATTCGGACCCTCGCTGGAATCTGAATCAGCGGATGGATTATAGCATGGTCAAAATCATGGTCAAGAGACAGACGTCAGTACTGGAGGCGGGGTTGTCGGGCGGGTGAATGCTACAACAGGGATGCTGCATGGAACGCTACAGAAACATAAACTCTTAGCTGAGTGGTCAGCCTCGAGATATTATCATGTGGTTAGCTGGCACCACGCATTTTACAACACATAGCGTGTGCTCAGTATGCCGTAGAAGGATATCTTTGCACAGCAAATCCATCCAGACCTAGCGCTATCAGTCTTGAGTACCAGCATCACATCCATCGCCTTACTAAGATATGCTATTCATGCCACCTCACCCCTAATCAGATTGAGTTCATCGTTGCGTATTGCTATGCGGAACATTCTATATTGACGTGACTACGTTGATAAAGTGTTTTGTTGGGCCAGCCATTCTGAATGGGTTGAACCTATTGCTGGTAAATGCTATGTCCAGGCTCTATGCGTTACCCCTGTCTATAACCTGCACCACTTGAAAGGTTGAATGATAACAGTGCTTTTGTTTCAAATATACAAACTCCACCTTTGAAAACTTTTTTTGGCGTTTATGCCGTAGCATACTCTTTCAGGTACGCGGCAAGCTTCTCAATGCCTGATTCGGGAATGGCATTGTAGTTCGACGCACGGATACCTTTACATCAAATCAGTCACGGTAGCCGACCACAGCTTTTAGTGTCACTTACCTCCGACGCTTCTGTGGCCCTTCAGGCCAGTGATTCCACGCTCGACAGCGCCCTTCAGGAAAGCCTTTTCGGCATCGTCGACGTTGCCACCCTGCGAAGATTAGCATCCGTCTCGAGACATCAGTTATATGGGCTGAGGGGCGTACCTTGATCACACGGAAGCAGGCGTTCATTCTTGAACGCACCTCCTTAGCGGGGACAACCTTGTACACCTCGGGGTAGGCGTCAAGCGTCTCATAGATGAGCTTCGCCTTTCTGTCGGCCACGGCCTGTTGTCCATCCACCTTATCGGGGAAGGCAGCAAGCAGCTTCTTCAAGACCTGGCCTGCAATATAGACACTAAATGCTGTCAGCGGGACCAACCCTGTAAGCTTGGTGGATCACTTACTCGAAGATCGGGAGAGTGTTGTACAAGCTGTTGTTCTTAGCCGCAACGGAGTAGTCGAGGATGGTGGGCGCAATCGGCAAGCCGAGCTTGCGCAGGATAGCAGGAGAGCAAGGGGTAGAAACAGGGGGCAAGAGGTCCTTCTTGATGATCACGCCCGTGATTCCGGCAACACCCAGGTTCTTCTGTCTTTTAGGGGTCAGTTAAAGTTCTGTCACGAAGATTGACCAGCCTTACGCTCCAAAGAAGATGATCGAGTAGTTCTAGGAATGGTCAGTATTGAACTGATTAGAATAACGGGGCTCGGGTACGTACCTGAACGGGGATACGTCTAGACAGGATGGTAGAAGAGAAGTCTCCAACGACAATGGGGTCCTCGTCGGTGCCCTTGGGCTCCAGAACCTTGGGGAAGCTGGGGAATTCAACACCATCGACAGTCTACGTGTGTAAGACGCGTTAGCGAGAATATCATGGTTGAGAAACTGTACACACCTCGTTCTCGCACTTGTAGACCATAGCAGCCTTGGGGCTCAGCTTCCAAGTCGACTCATCGGCGATCTTTCCGAACTTGCCGTCGTTAACGGTCCTGGAGTCGCTGGCGACGTTGACATATTCAGAGCCAAGAAGGCGAACAGCTTCCTGGCTGGCCTTCAGCGACCATCTGTGGGGCCATTTAGTATAGATTGTTCGATCGCTCTGGGCTTGGGTGACCATACGATCCAGTGACCAGGTAGTCCAGCTTCAATTCCGACTCGACCTTCTTGCGCAACTCGCTAATGACTTCATCCTCGCTGATATTGGCCTTCTCCTTGATAATCTGCTGTCTCTGCTTCTCAACCCAGATCGACACGAGGTTGTAAACGGTCGCATCGAATTGGCCGGATCCACCACCTTCAATCCATCAGCGAGTTGAAATTGCGAAGAGAGCTGAGGACAGCAATGTACCTTGCAGGAAGAGGATCTCATAGGTGTCGGGAATATCCAGGAAGTTAGCAAGGTCAGCCTTGGCGTTGTTCAGGATATTCGTCGCAATTTCGCTGCGATGACTGTGTTCTGCGACACCACTAGAAGTGCAGGTCAGATACGGTCGCAGATAAGATCGCACAGATCAGTGCCCCTCACAGTCCAGTGTCTTCGTAGTTCTGCAGCGCCTGGGCTGCTGTGGCGAGAACATCGGTGGGAAGACTGGCAGGGCCAGCACCCAGGTAGGTAATGTCTTCTCTTCTCATGATGATTGCAATTGCTGGTGTATTGTCTTGCTACAAGCGAACTGCAGAAGAATTTAAATGAAATGACGCGATCGGTGCTTGACTCATTAAGTCCGGGGCTACGCAAAGCGGCTTCCCGGGGGGTGTCTTGGGCCGGCCCTTCGTTTCCCCGGCGTGCCACAGGATTGCCCCTCGCCGGATAAAGAATGCTGTGGCATGTCAAGCCATCCTCGTGAGGCTTAGGCATGAGGCGCATGATAGTGCAAATAGTAAGGGGTGTATGACAGCATTGGATATACGCAGGTGTGACTCAATGTGTGACTCAAAATAGTAGGCCAAAGATATGCTGTGTAATATGTGCGGAAAGCAAAAAAGGAAATCTCCCCGACTGGGAGTCGAACCCAGGTCTCCCGCGCTTGTTCCCAACTGGGATTGACAAGCGGAAATCATGACCGTTAGACCATCGAGGATTGTTGAGGGAATTGTCACAATTTAGACTATATGATCCTGCAAAGTATGAGCTACTGATACTGACAAGTAGGGACGAGCCTCTTAAGGCCATGCTCCTTGCCAGTAGAGTAAAGGTCCGTTGCAGCTGCACACCATAACTAAAACCTCGTCTAGTGTAGGTGCATATTTCGACACTCGGAGTCCTGGGTACTAAGATACATGTAACTACATTACACTACGATCCTGCGTGTTTCATCAGATCCGCTTACCGAGTTCCTGAAATCATCACATCTCTCTGCTGCTTTGTCCCTCAATAGCAATAGTTGGCTACGCCTGTTTTTGTATACAGTATAAATAGCTATAGTGAAATGCTATATGTGTGCTGATGTTGCCCTTCCTTATTTGCTGCCCACTCGGCTAGTTGGTCGATCATTAAATTGTCGGATATATATTCTCATGCAAACCTGCTGCGAAGTCTGACCTCATGCGTCCACTGAAACTTCAACATGCCATCACAGTATCGTCTGATAGTACTACTAGTAAGTAGTAGCACTACATGAACTTATTGCACAATCACTTAAACAGAAAGAGAGATGATGTCGCCCGCAAGGCGCTAGCAATGTAAGACACCGTGACACGCCTTTGGTCACTTCAACACTGGTGAACCTATCGACAATCCCAACACTAGTATCTATAGGTCGCACAGCACACTATAGACCCCTCTCAAACTCCTACAATTGAAAACCAGCGGAATATGAAATTTCAGCAAATTCGGCACTGCTGATAGCACTACGTGCTGTCACGATGTCAACAGTATCATCTATGGAAGTGGAAAAGCAGGACCCACCAACTTATCAAGTGGGGCCGGCAGCCAGCAGGGCCCGATTCTACCACTCCCGAATTTAGCCAAAGCATCCAGCTGCCAACAACCATCTTACTCTACCAGAACTCCTTGGCATCTCCAAATAAACACACCAAGATGAGCACGATTGCTGTGGCCGGTGGAACTGGCGGCATAGGGAAGACCATAGTCGAGGCGTTGCTGCAGGAGCCCAAGTATCGGGTCATTGTCTTGACTCAAAGTGTACGACCCCATTGACGATGCTTCGCGCGCACTAACTCATCGAAAGTCAAGAGCCCCAAGGAGGATCCCGTTCTCGGGCGGACGCAGCAAATTCAGATCAATTATGATGATGTTGACTCTATTGTCCAAACGCTGGAGAAGCATGCGATACACACAATCATCTCCGCCATCGGAATCTACACGGAGGAAGCCAACCAATCCCAGATGAACCTAGTCCAGGCTGCCGAGAGGTCTAGTGCTACGAAAAGATTTGTGCCCAGCGAATATTCATTTATTCAAACCGAGGAGTATGTTCACCCTACTTGGTACTTACTAATGGCAAGTTTGCTAATGAAACAGTCTCCTACCCCACGATCCCAGCATTAAGTACTGGCTTGATGTAGCTGAAATGCTGAAGAAAACCAAGTTGCAGTATACTCGGGTCTGCCCCGGCGTCCTCATGGACTACTGGGGGATGCCTCGAGTGCGAACCAACATCCATCAACACGTTATCGGGATCGATGTAGCCAATTGCTGGGCCGGTATTCCCGGCGATGGCAATGACAAAATGAGCGTGACGTACTCGTACGACCTGGCAGCATATATCGTGAAGCTGCTTGATCTTGACGAGTGGCCTGAATTCAGCGTCTTTGCAGGAGATGATGTTACCTACAACGAGCTTCTTAAGCTTGCTGAGGAGGCCAGAGGTATGTATTTCGAGCATCTACAAAGGAATTTGACTAACTTGACCAGGCAAAAAATTCGACGTTATCTACGACAGTGCCGAGAAGATTAAAGAAGGCCAGGTCACAGTGCCACCGTTTCTCACCGGATATTCTGAGGCGGAGGCTCTAGAGATGACCGTGCTGGTGAGCCGACTCACCATTGCCGGCGCTTTCGATCTACCAAAGGAGCGTATGAATTCTATGTTTCCCGATATTCAGCCCATCAAGATGAGGGAGTTTCTCATTAATACATGGAAGGATGAGGTATAATCATGGATAGATCATATTGAGTGAATGATATATCTAGTAGTTTCTATGCTGAGACTTGGTAATTGCAAAAGAATGGTATATCAACATCACCTGCCCAGGCATTGCTCCCCACCCACCCCATAGTAAGTAATCGATCCTATTGGGCGCATAAAATATCATCAATGGCCAGGAACCCAATCAAAGATCTTCGTCGTCATCCCCATCCATGGCTCCCTTGAAGGGGTTATCGAATACTAACACATGATCATCACCTGCAAAGATATTAGCATATCCTCCATCTACCACGTGCGTAGGGGCACAGCATACAGTCAATTGTGTCCGCATCACTTTCTGCATCAGTGATATGTCCAACCGCATTTACAATATGTGATGTCACATTGTTGAGGTGTAGCATATCTATCAAGGATTCCCCGTTCTCCTGCGGTGGCTGGCTCAACGCTGGTGTTGGGACTTGAGTCTCGTGTTCGGACATTGTACGATGTGTTGTAGTATTATGACAGTGTCTAATGCCGAGGTAAGGAAGTCTCTGAACAGGATAGCATATCAATAGTGGCTAATCACAACCAGGTCTGCAGAACGTCAAGATTTATACCCATAACATCAATGACTGGTTGCCACCAATTATGCTGTGCAGTCTGACATCAGCGAAAGCTAAAGCCTGTTTCCTTCAAAAGAACTTGAACATTGTTCGACAGATAAAGCCTTAGGGTTTATTTACTGTGCTATAAAACCAAGATCTTTGTGAAGGCTCTCTTGACAAATTCGGTAAGAGGGTCTGTGTTTAGAGTACATCTTATTCGTTCGTTATATGGAGAAGAAACATTATCGAGCACCAAGCGCTAACCCGGGGTAATAGCTAATCCGGAGCCACCCATAATATCATCACCGTCTTGTAACATAACCTTAGAACATCAGATAACTTTTCAATCGAAATCCTCCACATCCCATGTTGAATCCGGCGGTCCATCTGTGATACCAATTAGCCACCTTCTATCTTCCATCATCACAACCAAGAGATAGCATACAGCCGTCTTGAATAGAAAGCAAATACCCAATAGTCTCAATCAAACTCGGCGAGTCCTCCGTAGGAGGGACCTCCTCGATGAGCTCCTCCAGGCTAGGAGAACTGTGATTTTGACCCCCAAGCTCAGGTTCAGGCTTCCTGACTTCTTCAACTGTGATGCCCATAGTATTCTTCTTAGATGTGGTGGACATGACGATGAATGTGCCCCCTTAGGGAGACTATCGATAGATAGATAGATATTAGAGAGAGACACTCAATAGTGTAGTTTCTCGGTAGAGCACTGTGTAGCGCAGGTACTAGCTACAACTCCTTCCCTCCATCACGCATCAAAATTCGCCATCACAGCCAACTTAAATAGCGTGCAACTACACCCAAAATATTAAGTCTTGACATCAGAAAGATAATCCATAACCTAGGCTCATTGGGCAGGGTAGACTGGTAGCTTTAATTACTCGCGACAAAAAAGGTGAAGTCATGGGATCACTAGTGAACTCTCGACTAGCCGAGGGGAGCGTGCTCAATTTTGTGTCTGTCATCGGGTCTTGATGGAAGCTTGCTGGTCAATCCGGGGTAGCTGCCCTTGGTTGATATTCCAGGATTCATGGGGCGGGTGGCCTGATAAGGTACGACCAAACCTAGTTCCAAACCGTGGCAGATCGACTCTGGGGACGTTCTAATAATCTGGAACCGATGCCAGGGGAGGAATATGGTTGGGCTTCTGAGATTGGGAGGAGCTGCTGATTCATTGAATCTGATCGTTAGCTGAAGAAGAAATAGCGACTGGATCCGGATGGTCCCGAAGTGCTTGCTTCTTGTGTGTTTGTGGTGTCCACTCTTTCAGCAGCACATGACCTACCCTTGTGTACTTGGCTCACTAAACGTGCGACTAATTGGGTGTTCACAGACGACATGTCTTTCTAAGCGCCCGACCGGCGGCCTGATCAATACACACACTCAATAGAGCCAAAAAAGAAATAGCAAAGAGAACAGAACTTTTTTCCTGAGGAAAGAAAAACGAAAAAAGAAAGGATTCAAGGCCCGAGCCGCGGATCGAACGCGGGACCTCTCGCAGATATGCTTGGGTTTGTATCCCTAAGCGAGAATCATACCACTAGACCACCCGGGCTTGATATATTATGCTGCTCTGTTTTTTGGTATAACAATGGGGAGGATATGAATTCTTGAGCTTGACATTCCTCCAAGCTAAACAATAGACGGTTGCACCTGCCAAATACCATTCAAGATATCAACATAGTTCCTAAACCCCTAAATTCAATCATTAGATTTAGTCCTTGGGTAGTGTGCGGAAACAGAAGGGGTAAGTATGATGTCAAACCTTTCCACAAGGAGAAACACTCACCTCACAGTACCTTTTCTCCGTTCCATATCACACCCGGTAACACCATCAAGCAATCATGCAATCAAAATATTACTGTATCGGTGCAGGATTCTGCGGGACAGTCTGGACCCTCGCTGAAGTTGGTCTAGCCATCAAGCGAGAGGATGGCGGTCCAGACAGGTCCCTCGCTAATGATTATGCTATGAACCAGCGAGTTCTTCGGTGTCTCTCGCGACTGACAGACATCAAAAGTCGAAGATCCTGTGACTATCAGGCATTTCCCCAAGTTCGGGTCTCACAGTGTCATCGCTTCATCCCCCCAAGCGATCGGTGGTGGTCGGAAAATCTTCCTCTCTTTCCATCGCAACACTCACCCTGCAATGCCATTGTCTCAGACCGCATTCCCCCATTTCCTGAGCAGACTAGAGAGCTCATTGTCAACAAATACTGCAATCCAAAGATACAAATGGAGATACTGACAAGCGCAGCCAATAGAGACTGTCTGATACGGCCGTATCTGGGTAGGCGACGGACGCAGAGGACTGAAATCAACAGACCCTCGAGATTTGCGGCTTTCTCACTGCGAAACTACCCATTACATGAAGACCAGATGGAAGACATTGGTATTCCAACCGAAGACATGCAGAAATATGCGCGAATGATGGGTGAAGCATTAGCAACTCTACACTGGCTCGGCGAGATGGACGGAAATGATATTGAATTTGTCCTGGCTCCTCTTCCATTCGATGAACAGCAACCTAACACCGACATAATCACCAATGTCCTCGGTCAGCATACTATGTGGATGCTGGACTTCGATTTATGTCAGCCTATGCCCATGTGCGATGATGGGGTCCAGCAGGCCGTTACTGCTTTTTGGCGTAATGACCCCTTCTACCCCCGACCGCAGAGAGAGCTGTGGGATGTATTTCGCGAGCAATACCTGATAAGTAGCGAGACCATCATTTCTGGGTATAATCAGGTCGATATAGATCAGCGACTGTCGCTTGCTCGAAGATTTATTGAATTGGTTGAGACAAACTAGGAGTACTACAGAGTGGCTTCAGATCATGACAATTCAACGAAATCCATATGGACGGGAAATGGCCTTTTATGAGTATGCGGTGACACGTATGGCCGTGATGTGTTGTAGCAGGCTGCATTAGGCATCGGTCCGGATACCACTATTTACTGGGCGGTCTGAGGCCTAGAACGGAAAGCGACACGAAGCAGGCACGGATCAGAATCTAGCTCCCCTACTTTCCTGCATGCCATACAAATCTTATGCGAAACGAATAAGGCTGCAGATTTAACAAGCTCCAACAAGGCGTTTGCTCCTCGACATATGGTTATCTTGGGGCCGGAGGACTAGGATGAAACCGGACTAGCTGGCTGCAAGGGAAGTAGATCAGCCCAGCTGTCCCTGCGGATGTCAGACGGTCAGTCGCTTGACTCAGAGGAGGTACCTGGATGACACAAGAGTCCAATAAATCACCGACCTTGCAGGCGGACGAATCGCGACCGTTCTCTCTGCTTATCTTCCGACACTTACGTGGACGTTAAATATCAACTTGACTCGGACTCCGATCGTGTATCCATAGAGCTCGGACTAATCTATCAAGCAAGCGCCATGCCAGGATTTTCCCTTATAACCGAGACTTATTATAGCGCCATGACCAGGATGCCTTCATGGCCAAGTGGGAACTGCACATATCAGAGCCACGAACCGTGGCACCACTCATGTGACGTAATGTCGATCCATGCGATTTGGGTGTCGCGGACCCGGTGACAGGGGTCGCTCCAAGTCACCCCAAGTCTGGGCCCCGTGTCCTGGAGGACCGTGTGTTGGCATTCCGATGGCGCGGGGTTTTTCTTATAACGGTGCTCGGATCCTTTCTCCCCTTCGTGTTGTTGTCTTTCTTTCTTCGTTAGACGCGGATTCTTCTTCAGAAGCTGGAATCCCGCTTCCCGTTCTTCTTGTCTCACGACATCAACCTATGGAAAGATTTCGTCGCTAACAGGTCGCGCGGGTACGCTTCTCTTGCAGTACCGCAGCGATCTCCCTCCGCTTGAAGAGACCTCTCGTCGATCGACAGGGAATGTTTCAAGCACTTCGACAGTGACTATAATCGTCTACTTCCTCGGTACCATAAGGGCAGTCTCAGGTATGCGTTTGCAAGTGGCGTCGTCAATGATCAAATCGGATAAAGACGCTAATGATTTTCTAGTTCTGATCAGCACCCCGCCCGAGCATATTTGCCAGTCGACCAGTGGTACGAAGATACGATACTATCAGACACCTTGTCAAACACAATGGCACAGCCGGCTGAAAGTTCGGTGAGCTACGGGCTTACCAGGAAAAGCCATATGGGGGGAGAATGCATTCTGAAGCGCTTTTCGCAATGGTTTTGGTCGGTGTGGATGATCGCCGGGTCTGGGACCCACGATGCCCTTGCGGATCCCGCGAATCACCCCAGAGCGACAAACGGTGCCTCCACAAAGACGAACGGTTGTGCTGGCACAGCAAGAGATGGTTTGTCTGCCACTGGAGAATGGGATACAGGACTGCGGGAACGGTCCTCCGAAAACGAGCATGGTTATCCTTGCAAGGCATGCCAGACATGGGGCGTTGTTTGCGACCAGCAGAGACCGCGCTGCTCGCATTGCTTGGATCAGCAGATACTGTGCTTTTATGTGGCACCTCTGCAAAAACCACCGAAGCGGTCAACCAAGTCGCGTTCCCGCCACGTTGAATTAGTAAATTCACCGCCACGTCTACTGGCAACTTGACTATAATGAATCATGAGTGAATGGAGATACTTTGGTGGAACATTTGACGGAGCTCTTCTTTCTATCATCGCGATAGTTTATTTTCCGGCCGATAAGATAGGCATGTGCCTTAGATAGCTCTATCGCCCAGTCACCCCACATGCGGGGGAACGACTGGCATAAGGTTGCTCGTGGAAGTGACATTCGGGGCCAAATGACTGATCACATACCGTACATTCCCATATGCTGGATCCGGACGAACAGTAGCATGGTGAGGACATGGACGATTCGCCACCGTTCCCTATGGCGAATATCCAACGTGGACCAAAGCGACTGCTTCCAAATCAAACAAAAGACCGTGCAAGCTTAAGATTTCACTGATCGGATGTAACTTAGTCGTTCCCCGCGAATCGTTGATTTACTTACCTCGGATACTTGTTTCCAACGTGTGCCATTGCTAGCAGTCGTCGGAGCACTGTCAGCCGATTCCCCCGCCACAAGGTAGCACCTATTTAGAGATGGATTCTCTACGAAAGCACAAACTAGACTTTGGATCTGACTTCTTCATTAATAACAAAGACGCACAAGGTGTGTTTCAAGGTTAGTTGCCCTGCTTAGGCAATCCCGCTTACCGTTCATTTGTCCATCAAGTTGATCAACGTGAATGAACAGATGGAAGCAGAATACATTCGAATTGCAGAAGCAATTCAACAAGAAGCTCGCAAGAATGACAAGAAGCGGCTTCTCGTTGCTATAGCTGGAATACCAGGCTCTGGCAAGACAACCACAGCCTCAGCTGTCGCTCAACAACTCCGAGCCGAGTCGCAACCAAACAAAATAGCCCTCGTTTCCATGGACGGCTTCCATTTGTCGCGGGCGGCATTGGACATACTCCCTAATCGGGAAGAAGCATATATCCGGCGTGGTGCACCATGGACCTTTGATGCAGTGCGTTTCGTTACGTTTGTTCAACAGCTACGACAGTGGGCAGATTCTACCCCGTTTCCCACAGACGGAGGCTCATCATCTGACGCTACTTCAATATATGCACCGTCGTTTGATCATGAGGCCAAAGACCCCATTGAAAATGGCATGATTGTTACAAGCGATGCCTCGATTATCATTATCGAAGGCAACTATCTCCTGTTAAACGAAGAACACTGGCGTGATGTCTCGCAACTAGTCGACTATCGCATATTTGTCGATGCAGACTTGCAGGAAGCTAGGGGAAGAGTCGCTCGACGTCATGTTAGTGCGGGGATTGAGAAGACGCTGGAAGATGGTTTTCGTCGTGTCGACAGCAATGACTATCTGAATGCGCTGCATATCCAGGGGAAACTGATACGGCCTGATATGGTGGTTAAGAGTGTGGAATTGACATAGACATCATTTCGTGTACACATCTACAATACAAAGCGCTCATAATGGGACATCTTCACACTGAAAGGAAGCTAGATTCGGGCGATGATCGGAGCGGACTCTTTACTCCTTGATCTTGCTTTTGTGAAAAACATCTACGAACCGAATTAGTTATTGCGCACCATGAGGACAAGACAGACCAGACACTCACCCGGAATCTCCGGCATCCAACGAACCCTACTCTGACAGAAAAACTCTCCCTTCGGCGGCAACACTTCCGGATCATCCAATGTCCCTACACAAATATACCGGAAATCATTCTTGACAGCATCCTGTCCAAGACCCATTAGCAGAGCACTTATGCCACTCCCACAAACGAGCCCCCCTAGAGCGAACGAACATACCCCATACTCGCAAATATAGCTCCCACAATCCCCACAAAACTCCCGATGTATTATACTTCCGGACCCATTATCACCCACGTATTCCTTAAGCTTACCGGATGTGATCTGAAGGGCATCTTTGGGGACCTTGGCGGTTAGACCGTAGTTTGTTCCGAAAGCTTTCTATAACCCCGAAATATGTTAGTCAATTGAACACCCTGTGGACAAAGTTAAGGTGTAGATCGTAGATCAGAACCGTGGAGCTATCTGGCTAACCTTGCAGCTGCTGCAATGACAGAGGGACGTGCGGGCATCGTCGGGAGACGAGAGGTTGAGGTTATAGGTGATTTTGTGACAGAAGCAGGAACCAGGGTAGGATTGCATTTTGGTTAAGTATCGATGGGTTTGATGATATAGAGCGATTCTTCTTGGTACGTTATGTGCAGTAATTGAATTAAAATCATTGTTGAGGTTATAATTGAGAATTCTGGGATTGTTGTATAGAGCGATGCGCCTGACGAATGTTGACGTCACGGCAGGACTGCCCCGTCGCAGAAAGACACTCATGATCGGCGCGGACATTTTATCTCTGGCAATTGGGCAAATTCCTTTAATCTCTTATCAAAAATACGAGATAATAATGGAAAAGCACATGAGAGCAAGCTAATGACCATGGCACAAGCTATATCAGCCCTCGATAATCATCGTAAGATTGATTGTCTGTCATGGACGCAGCGATAGCGTGATGTGACCATGACCGAATAAATCCCCTCATTTCTTTCGGCAGTTACCCGATCAGCTGACGCTCTGCGACTGTTTGTCCCATCTTTATATTCCCCGACTATCGCCGTCTTCTATTCATTCTTTTTTTGTCAAGAAACGGTGGTCCCGCCCCACGCGTATGCTGATCAGCCGAAAGGCTTATTCCTTCTCTCTGTACATGCCGCATCGTACATAGAAGTTTCACCAGGCGTAGTTTACCCGCCACTTTCACAATGTCGCACAAGGAACAACCTCACGAGTCGCAACTTGAGAAGCGCGCTGTCGTTTCCTCCTTTATCTTCCACTTCCCAAAGGGCCATTCTGAAAAACCTGTCGTTGCGCTGTTCAAGCGCAGCGATAAGGTGCGAACGTACAGGTTGGTTTACCCCGCACTCTTTGATTGCTGTAGACTTCCCACTGATTGTTGTGACGCAGCCATCATCTCGCTCCTATATCCGGCAGCATAAGTCGCAGCGACAATTCACCCCTTGAAGCCGCTTGGCGCGAACTAGCGGAAGAAACCTCCCTCGACGAATCTTCGCTCACACACTGGCGCACAGGGAAGCCGTTTACCTTTGAAGATCAATCCGTTAATCGCGAGTGGACCGTCCATCCGTTCGCATTCAAGCTCAAAGACACATCAGAAGGCGGAAAGGGTGAAAGCGCTATTAAGATAGACTGGGAACATGAGGGATGGGAATGGTACGATCCGCAATCGGTATTAGACAGGGAAGAATTGGAAATTGTACCGCGTCTAAAAGACTCTCTTCGACGAGTCTGGTTCGAAGGAGAATTGAACGAGCGCGCAGCAAAGGCACTTTCACTCGGTCTAGAGCGTCTACGAAGCGACCATGAGAGTGGAGCACAGGAATTAACTGCCATCGCGCTAGTGGCCTTCCGGGATTTCATCGTCCAGACGCAAGACGAGATCAATAGTGAGGAGTGGTGGAAGACAGTTCGCATGGCAGCGTGGCATGTTATCAAGAATGGCCGAGAAAGCATGGGCGCGGCGACAATGAATGCCCTGATTGCCGTTCTAGATGAGATAAAGGACATACTCGGCGACGAGAAGACAAACTCGCAGCACAAGTGGGAACGGGTCCTGAATGTGCTCGATCACCATATCAAGTCTCGGAAGAGTCGTCAAACGCAAGTGAAGGATGCGTTTGCGAATTACATTCGCTTCAAGTTTCTGCATCATGGGGAAACTTTGGATAAGCTCACTATTTTGACTGTTTCAGCTAGCTCAACTATCCGGGACAGTATATTGGAAGCATATGCGTCACTGGACATCCGAAAGCTGGAACTCCGTATCCTCGAGTCGAGGCCACTATTCGAAGGCACAAGTATCGGCTCATCCATTCTCAGCAACTTCAAGTCACGATTCCTCGAAACCCCCGGTAAGGGACTGAAAGTGAAAATATACACAGACGCATCTGCTGCATTGGCCGCAGCCGACGTGGATCTATTACTTCTCGGTGCAGACCGCATATCCGGCACAAAGGGGGTGAGCAACAAGACGGGGTCATTACCAGCCGTGCTTTGCACGAAACACGTCAGCCCTAATGCACAGATTGCTGTCCTCAGCGACCTCGAAAAGATCAATTGTGTCGGGAGTATGATCGACGATGACCACCACGAAGACAACGATCCGATGGAGGTCATCAGTGCCTGGCGCAACGATGGCGTCAAGGCAGTGAGAGTGCTAGAAGATGGCATGAAAGGAGCTGATGCAGAGGGGTCGTCGACTGTCGAGGTGAAGAACATATACTTCGAATGGGTGCCGTTGTATATGGTTGATGCGTTTGTTAGTGAAGAGGGCGTCATGGATGAGAGCCGCATCCGGGAGAGATCAAAGCAGTTGGGAGAGACGGTTAATAGGTTTTTCGAGGACTTGTAAAGCTGCCATGGTGATTTGAGGTCTTGGAACGGGATAATATTAGTGAAGCGAAGCATATTATAATATCTACTATCAGAAGCTATATCCTACCATATTACTCTAATGCAAACAGGTCACTTCCTCAAAAACGTCAGCGCAGCCAAACACAACGCATCCACCCCCGTCCTCAGTGTCGGCTGCACCACCGGGGCAAAAAGCGCCGAATGATTGCCCGGAATCTCCTCAATCTTCCCTTCCGCCGCGGCCCTATCCCAAACCTCCTGATCCACACCTCCAAGAAGCCAAAAGCAACTTGGAATATCCCGACACGTAGCGAGGGTACTAAAGTCCTCGGCGATATTAGTCCTCGGCACATCAGGATCGAAATCCTCAAAATGCTCCCCAAACGTCTCCGCAACCCTCCTCGCCACATCCCCATCATTCACCGTCGGCGGAAACCTCCTCGTCGGCGTAAATACCGGCGGCGCAGGCGACCCACTAGCTGCACACTCGGCCTGGACAATCCTCTTAATCCCCGCAATAATTTGCTCTCTAACCTCCGACCTCACAGACCTAAAATCCACGCCAATCTCTGCCCGATCCGCAATGATATTCTCCGTCTGGCCCGCCTGCAAACTCCCCACCGTGAGGACCGCCAAATCCGACGGATTAATTTCCCTGCTCACAATACTCTGTAACCTGACCACGATATGCGCCGCAAGCAACACCGGATCAACAGTCTGATGCGGCTGCGAGCCATGCCCGCCCCGTCCAAACACCGTGATCTTCATACTATCCGCCGCGGCCATAATGGCTCCCACGCGGGACGCGACACTCCCGGCCCGCATGCGCATGACATGCTGGCCGAGCACCACATCCGGCACGGGAATGCGCGAGTAAAGCCCATCGTCGACCATGGCTTGCGCGCCGCCTCCGCGCTCTTCGTCCGGCTGGAATAGCACGATGAGCGTCCCGTTCCAGGCATCGCGCAGCTTGACCAGGGTTTCGGCCGCCGCGAGAAGACAGGTGATGTGCACGTCGTGCCCGCAGGCGTGCATGACGGGGCGGTCATTGCCCTCTGTGTCATGCATGGTGATGGTACTGGCGTAGGGGAGGTTGGTTAGTTCCTTGACCGGGAGGGCGTCCATGTCTGCGCGGAGCAGGACGGTTTGGTGGGGTTTGTCCTCGTCGGTGACATTGCGGAAGACGCCGGCGAGACCGTAGCCGCCGATGTGGGTGTGGATGTCGAAGACGCCGAGTTGGGTGAGATGCGCGGCGAGTTTTTCGGAGGTGTGTTTCTCTTGGCGGGAGAGTTCGGGGTGCGCGTGGAAGTATTTGTAGAGGTCTTCGTAGGGGGTGAGGTCTAGGGGGGATGAATTGAGGAGGGATGATATGGTGGTGGTGGTGGTGGTGGTGGTGGTGGTGGAGTGAGTCATTGTTGGTTGTGGGTTGCGGGTGGTTGTTTAGATTGATTGATTATTAGTGGTGGGTAGGTTAATGTGGCAGGGATGAAGAGAGATGGATGTCAGTGTAAATTGGAGGTTAATGAAGCTAACTAGTCCGTAATGGATCTAGTTTGGTCACTAAAGTTGTAACTAATATTGCATGATAATGAAGTGGTATTTTTAGTCTTCTATGTGACTAACGGCAGATCTTTGACTGTATACAGAGTGCAAACTGCACATTGCAAAGAGTTCAAGGTCAATGCTTAACCCCTCACAGTATGTGTTGCTTATAACGACCTTTATGATCTACTTCTAGCAGGCAATTACCAACTCGCCAACCAATCAATGCGCATGAATGTACTATCAATGTTTCTCGTCATCTAAATAAATCAAGGCTAACGCCCTCACCGCTTTTCCCCACAACTTTTTGCCGCTGTCACTCCACATTGACACTGGCTATCGATAACCAAAGCTCTCCAGATAAACATCGCTCTATTTTACAATATACACACACAAGAAGACAAAAGAGGGATAAGGAGGGAAAGTTTGACCAAGGAAAGGAGAAACAATGCTGACTAGGAACGGACTACTTCATTCATTGATCACGTCCAGATTCTGCCTGCAGCAAGATTAAAGATCATAACAACCAATATCACAAGCTGTTAGGGGATTTGCAAGCGACACGTGAGAAAGATAGCACGGAGTGCCCATGCCGGACCCCGAATTTTCTTTCCAAGCAAGCCAGGAGTTTCGGCGTCATAACTTCGGTCCAAAACCAACCCTTTCAAATCATCGGCCATCTGGTACTCCGACGTCCGTGTTAGCCGCTCAAACTATGTTTAGATTTCCGCTCCCGAACGCCGAGCTGTAAGCCCCGAACCCCGTAGTTGTTATAGGGCGTCCAATAATTCTGCGACACAGAGATTCGACCTCATTTGAGATGCGCAGCATATTGGGCTTATTAGAGTTGTTTCGTTTTTGGATACTAATAATTTATTAGAAATTGATAAAGCCTGATACTAATTTGAACATTACTTCAGAAATCAATTACTGTGATATCCTATTACAGGTCTGCCTGTATCTGGATCACTTATCTAATTTTGTATGGATTAGATGTTATGATAATAATTCTTCTTGTATTGATAGTGCTGTATTACTTCATATTGCTTAGTATATACTATTCTATGAAGTTGAAGTGAACTTAATGGTAGTATTCAGGACTATATTTCCCTATCACGGACTATATAATACCTACATAACTAGTATCTTAAGGCATTGTGTTGTCATTCGCGCCAACGCATCGACACAATTTGTTGGAGCCGGTCTCAACGGATATGCACTTCCCGCCTGGCGGAGCTAAATTTGCGTCTCTTTCAAGGGAAGAGATAGTGCCCTTCGCTTTGAATTGGACGCAAGGTCGGACGCAGGAGGAAAAGGACATAACCGAGGCTAGTTACCTCCCCCGCCTTCCTACGGTCGGTCTTTCTATCATCTACTATATATGCGGGGATTCGTTCTTCAAGTTAGATGGTAGGGTTTGCTTCTTGCCACGCTCCATCTCATCATCGCCCAGCTATTGAGCACAAAAACTATATCATTCAAAGATGGCTCTCAACAAGTTTCTACAGACCGACCGTGAGACATACCCCTATGTCTTCATGAAGAATGTTGACATTCCCTTGAAAAATCCTGGCAAAGGAGTCGTCCGCGGCAACGTATATCTGCCCAAAGACGCCACGCCATTTGGCTCGCAAACCTACCCGGTGGTCGCAACCTACGGTCCCTGTTTGTATACCTGCTAGCAAGTGATCCAATGCACCTCTAACATGGTTCTAGATGGCAAAGACGTGCCGTATTCCGTCTTTAATCGGAGTAGCTTCGACGAGGTGAACCCGCAGCACAAATCCGCCCATTCAGCATGGGAAACCCCCGACCCAGGGTTTTGGACCCAGCGGGGATACATCGTCGTGAGAGTGGACGAGACAGGAACTGGGCAGAGTCCCGGACAATTGGATGTCCTGTCCCGTGCGACCAGCGAGACATTTTTTGACGTGATCGAGTGGGCTGCCCAGCAGGAATGGTCAACCGGCAAGGTCGGCTTGCTTGGGGTCAGCTACTATGCCGCAACGCAGTGGAGTGTGGCAGCCCGCAGACCCAAGGGGCTGACCGCGATTATTCCCTGGGAGGGCTTCAGTGACTATAACCGAGAGGCTGTTCGTCATGGTGGCATCCTCGCAGATCAATTTATGGGTTGGTCAACCCCCTTGATGTGCCCCAGCATTTCGCGATATTGACTGCACCGGCCGTTTGGGGCGCCGTACAGAGATTTGGTGGTCTCGTCAAGTACTACCCAATCAATATGGCACCCCCGGTCGCTGGGGTGACCCGACCCTCGAAGGGGACCTGGATTCGGAGACCCGGGCCCAAAACCTGGCTGGCTTGACCGTCAACACCGTCCGGTATCCGTTCGCGGACGACGATTACAACAAATCTCGAGTGTTTGCCATTGAGGATGTTGAAATCCCTCTTCTCAGCGTAGCCAACTGGGTAAGTCATCAACGAGGCCTGCTATGAATCCCGCGCGTGTACTAACGTGAAGGGCTAGGGTGGTATCTTGCTGCACCTGCGTGGCAATGTGGTCGGATGGACGCGAGCGTCTTCTCGATACAAGTTTCTGCGCTTCGTTGTCGGCCGACATGATTTACCCTTCTACTGGGAACAATCGGCGGAGCTACAACGGTCATTCCTGGATTGCTTTTTGAAAGATGACGACCATGCGGGCTGGAAAACGAACCAGCCCCGGGTCTATCTCACTCTGCGGAACAAGGATTGCGATCCCAGAAACGAATTGGACCAGCCTGGTCGCGCCGAGGCAGACTGGCCTATTCCCGACACCCAGTATACCAAGTTTTTCCTTACGCCCAAGCGTACTCTGTCTACCATACCCGCTGAGACAACGGGCACCTGTTCCTACGATGCGCTCCAGGGGTAAGCCACTCCTCTCTTGACACATCACTACCCTGTTGTGATCTAATTTCCGGTCAACATAGGGACCCTATCCAATTCCATTATAAGACCAGCTCCTCACTCGAAATAACGGGGCATATTATTGCACACTTGACCATCTCCGCATCCCGACTCACTCCTAGTGATGCACCCCCTTCTGATATAGACATTTTCGTCACCCTGCGCAAGCTGGATAAAGACGGGAACGAAGTGTTCCATACAGGGACCGTCGGCGATCCGGTTCCCGTTGTCAAGGGTTGGCTGCGTGTTTCGCACCGCAAAGTGGATGAGACAGATCCTCTGCACCGCCATTACCTGCCATATCGCAGTTACTCCCGTGCAGATGTGCTGCCGGTGGTTGAGAATAACAAGTATCCGGTTGACGTGGAGATGTGGCCGACTAACACCGTGCTGGAAGCCGGAGAATCACTCGTGCTTGAAATTGCGGGTCACGACACGCAGGGTGTGGGCTTGTTTTCGCATCAGCACCCAGAGGATCGCGCCCCAAGCACGTTTGCCGGCCTAAACCATGTAGAGGTCGGCAGGGATAGTAGTTGGATTTCACTGCCCGTCATTCCACCGCGGAACTAGCACCCGGAATTTAAGGTAGGAATAGGAATGGGAAGTGTTCCCCGCCTAAGGTAGCGGTACTAATGGGAACCTTCTCAGCCCCTTCAATATATCGCCATCTACACGGAACTGGTCGCTGAGGATGAGCACATTGTCTGCCGGGAGAGCGGCCATGTCTCAGGCCTCCGCTGCAGTGATCTCCCAGGGCTGTCTTGTCGATTGTACCCACACGTCTCCGTCCAACGTTATCCGCATCCTCAATAGTATGTCCATGAGTGGCCTAACCGCTGTGGTAGGTCATACGGTCAACCTATTCAACGTTCAGTTGACCACGTTCCTGCACTTGGCTGAGCCCATGGACCCGGCGAAGCCTTGGGGGCCCTCCACGCAGATACCTGTCCTCTTCGTCTGGTCGTCACTTCATCCACAAGATGCTTTTCACCTTTATCAATTCTCTCAAGGCGCTCGTGCAAGGTATCAAGGGTAACCCTGTACGGCACAGTGGGCATTTACGCCTCTATCGGCAACCTGACTACGGCCACGTACGACGCATCAGTCCCAGCGACGTCCCGGAAGGCTGGAAGTGCACAAAAGCTTTGTGCACCTCACACAGAGTTGAGAATGAGCCCCTGAGAACAGTATCTGTCCTGACCAGTGACAAAGAGGTGAAATCGTTACCTTTTATTGACTTTTGAGGTTTTATGTTGTGAAGTTATATCTCTCGCTTGACCGGATTTTGTTGTGTCCCAAAGCGTCACACTGAATACTACCTCCATCACGCCCTTTGTCTGATGGGTATAAACCTATACATGAATGCGTTACATATGATATCTAGCCTGTACTCAGTTCTGTTTTCTCTTCGGTTACTACCCGTGTAATACTTCGGCGCGTAGTCTAATCCCTAAGCTCGACGGTGGTTAGCTTACTGTATTAGGCTGGACTACTTGGACAAGTCAAATAAGATCGCGTGATATGTGTTCAAGCTCACTCCCCATAGAGAAGAGTAGTTATCATAACTACAGTGAAAGTGACTACGTCTGTTTGCATGATCTGAAAATTCCAGCTTATAGATACAGCCATCCTAGATTACGACGTCACCATGTATATTGGCACGATTGATGAGATCAGCTCGGAGGTTGAGATAAGTGCGCGTGGTATGCTGAATCAGCTTTTGGACACTTCTTGAACATATTGGAAAAGTACCGTGCATCTATTTTGGACATTCTAGACGAACAACAGACAGCTGTAACAAAGTCTTTGTGGTAAACCACTAGTGCAGCCAGCAATATCAAACGGAAAGAAATAGCCGATTTTTTTTTCCCTCCGCAAGTCTCAGTCAAGTTTCCTCGAGCAAGTCGGCGGTCGACCACCGGTCTTTTTCTCTGCACCGTGTTTCTTCTGCTCGTGCCTATTCAATCCCTTCTGAGATCCGTAGCTCTTCGAACACAAATTGCAACAAAACGACTTTGTTGACGCTGCAGGACTTGGCCCCCGGCTCTGATACTGCGTTGGCTTTGGCAGGAGTGGTCGAAAACAGCCCTGAGCTCTTCCACTTACAGGAAGCGTGGAATCCGAAGTGCAGTCTGGGCTCCTGTAGGGTCAGTTAGTGAGTCACTACCTCTAAGTGATCAGTACAGGGTACAAACAAATAGCCGCTCGCAGGGACGGGCAAGGACGAGTCGGGGAGAGGAGGGCAGTCGTTATTATCAACTTCCGACGGGGCAACGAACTGATATGGAGGGGTAGGGTTGTTTAAAAGAGGGTCCACCG